CGCCTCATCCCAGGTACTTGAGACCAGCCAAACTGGTGTGTCTTCCCATTCTAAACTCTCGTGCAGGTGAGAGCGTCTTGCATCTTCTACTTGGCTTCATTGCTTTCACCATGCGCCATCTTATTTCGTTCCTTCTTCTTTGCAGCATTGGTAGTGTCACTGAGCTATGTTCCATAGCCAATCACTGTCTGCTTGGATCTGGCATTTTTCTTATCTTTCGCTGGTGTGTGTCTTGCACTGGAAATTCGTTACATTCTCAGCCACATCTTCTACTGCTAATGGAAGAATAAGCATGGATTTGTGCCAATCCCCATTGCCCCTGGCTCTCCCTCCACGAAATCCCACACAATATCTTACCTGGGCCAATGGAAGCCAGAAATGCCACCGAGGACGACTTTGAGAGTTCCCATTCTACTTGTTATTAGTTGACAATTCGGTAAGTGCGTCAAGGCCAAGCGGTGTCTTCGTCCATAAGCCCTAACCGCTCCTAAATATGCTCGTATATGTCATCAACAAACTATTTCAAACACTAACATACAGATTTAGTGCAACCGGTTTGTTCATTGGTGAGCCTTGTTTACATGTTTTTGCTTTTTGATTCATTGCTGCCGGACTTGAGAAGTTGATCAGATTGTGGGACGTTCTGCTGGCGAAGAATTTTTCAATGTTCTTCATTGCACTAAACTGGAGGGGACACCATCAGAATATTGACAAAGCCTTGCAACACACACTGTGCACAGTGTTTGAGCTTTGGTGACACCATTCTAACTGTGAGTGATGTGTGTGTTCCTTATCAAAACATTCCACGGCACCACATTCTTGTGAGGCATCAGAAAAAATCACGTTTGATGCAGACTCTTCTGATCTGGGAATATGCCCAACTTGGGCATATGCTGCAAGTACAGTGTTTCAGGAGACCGCGTTCTTCTGCAGCGCCATGTTAAAAGCACAAAAGGCATCTCTCATGCTGCGACCGTAGGCATTCACATCATCAGGTTTTTCGCAAAGACTGATTCAAACAAAAGCTCTCTTGGATCATGGCGTTCCAGCACAAATTCTCTTTAAATAGAAGATTGAGATCTCTTTATGGAGGAAGAGGAGTCAAATTTTCTCTCACCCCCTGGAACTTGATACTCTCCGCAACGTATCAACGCTTGTCATGGTTATTGGATTTTAACTCTACTATTCTCACTATTGATCATCTATTATATGATCAAGAAAAAAATAATGGTGTGGCCTTTCGATGTGATTCTATATCCGACTTTAGCTCAGTTGGCAGAGCGGAGGACTGTAATGTGTTGCAGATATCCTTAGGTCGCTAGTTCGAATCTGGCAAGTTGGATCTATTTTATTTCTCCTTTCCTGTTTCTTTTTGGCCATGTTTTATTGCTTCGTGGCACATGTTTCTAGGGTTTTGTGCTGGAGCTATACTCGATTAGGGTTTGCGGAGCGCGCAGCTCCGACGCGGCGAGGGGGATTCCAATGCGGGACTTGATCTGAAATTCGAGCTGAGGGAGTAGGCTTCTAGATTTAGATCGAGGATTTCGGTGTCGCGGCGGGCAGCCATGGGCCTGGACATGCCGAAGATGCATCTGTTTCGGTCCGAGGATATGACGCTAGTGCAGCTCATCATCCCGGTGGAATCGGCCCACGGCACGCTCACGCATTTGGCGGAATTGGGAGCCCTCCAATTCAAAGATGTAAGGATTTGATAGAATGAGCTGAAGATTTCACGTTATTTGATGTGTTCTTGCAGCTTAACCCGGAAAAAAGCCCCTTTCAGAGAACTTACGCTAACCAGGTTTGTTCTCATTCATTTCGACGTATATATCTGTAAGTCGATGACTATGTTGTATTTCAGGTGAAACGCTGCGATGAGATGCTTCGCAAACTCCAGTACTTCTCGGACCAGCTCCAAAAATCAGGACTCGCATCGACGCCGTCGGCTGTAGAGAGCGATCTCAACTTCGATGAGTTGGAGGTATGAGCGATGGAATGCCTAACCCCTTATTTTTCTTTCTTTTAATTTTGGCACGACATTTACAGGTGAAAATCAATGAACTGGAGCCAGAATTCAGGGAAGTGAACTCCAACCTCGAGAAGTTGAAGCGCACCCGCAATGAACTTACGGAGTTCCTTCTCGTGCTGGACAAGGTACGCCATAGCGTGTGTAATTCTAAATGGTGATGTCAACTTCGTGCAGGCCGGTGCATTTTTTGAGAGTGCGCGTCAAAATGCAAATTCGCAACAGAGGGAGGACGAGTCGATCAGTGGTGGCGAGTCTATTGAGAGTCCGCTGCTAGAACGGGTAATTTTTGTGTTTCAGTGTTGTGATTATTTTATCGACTTACTGCAGGAAATGCAAGTCGAGCCCAGCAAAAAACTAAAAGTCGGGTTTATCGCTGGCGTTATTCCAAAACATAAAGCCAACCAATTCGAGCGTATCATCTTCAGAGCCACTCGTGGCAACATGTTTTACAAATGCGTACCACTTGACGAGCGAGTTAGTGATCCTGCCACCGGCGACCAGGTGTGTTGCTAATACTGTGATAATCGTCTTGTTCTAACTATGAGCCTTACTCAGGTGGAAAAAGTCGTGTTTTTGGTCTTCTTTTCCGGTGAAAGATCACGTACCAAAATTTTGAAGATTTGCGATGCTTTTGGAGCCAACCGGTACCCTTTCCCAGAAGAAACTCTTAAAAGACGTCAAATGAGAATAGAGGTTTGGCTGCCCGCATCATAACTTGATTTAACGTGATTACTGTTGGCAGGTTTCAGCCAGACTGTCTGAGATGCAAACAACTCTCGATGTTAGTAGTGACCATCGGGAAACCGTGCTGAAAACAATAGGCTATCAGCTGGAACACTGGCTCGAAATGGTTCTGAAAGATAAATACGTTTATAATGCGCTAAACATGCTGAGTATGGACGTGACGAGCAAGTGCCTCGTTGGTGAGGCTTGGTCTCCGTTGGGGGCTTTACCACGCGTAAGTGATTTAATTTATATTTGCTTCTTTCCAGTTCTCAGCTTTCTTGGCTACTCAGATCCAAGACACATTGCGATATGCAACAGTTGAAACGAACTCGCAAGTCACAACCATTTTCCAAGTTCTTCACACAAAGGAGGCTCCACCAACGTATTTCCAAGTTAATAAATTCACGTCAGCCTTCCAGGAAATCGTGGATGCATATGGGTAAGCTTGTGAACCATTATTGGCTGAGTCTTATGGTCTTTTGGTCTCCAGTGTTGGAAGATATCAAGAAGCAAACCCGGGAGTTTTCACCATCGTGACATTTCCATTTCTATTCGCGGTCATGTTTGGAGACTGGGGTCACGGAATTGTCTTGCTCCTGGCAACTCTCTGGCTGCTTGTAAACGAGAGGAGACTTGGAAGTCAGGTTCGTTTGGTTTTCCTCTTCTTCAGTGTTTTATTCTGAGCTTAAAAACAGAAACTGGGAGACATCATGGAAATGGCATTTGCCGGTAGATACGTGCTGCTTCTCATGTCTCTTTTCTCAATCTATACGGGCTTCATCTACAACGAATTTTTCTCTGTACCGTTCGAAATATTTGGACGCTCTGCATACAAGTGTGAAACTCCGTCTTGCAGGTATATATCTTTCTACAATATCGAGCTCTCTTTCTTACCGCTTTTTTTTCTAGTGAATCTACCACGGTAGGCTTGGTCAAATACCGTGATAAACCTTATGCGTTCGGTGTGGATCCTGTTTGGCATGGCAGTCGCAGCGAGTTACCTTTTTTGAATTCTTTGAAGATGAAGATGTCCATTATTCTTGGAGTCGCTCAGATGTTACTGGGTATCGTTCTCAGTTTGTTCAACGCTGTATACTTCGCTCAGCCGCTCGATATCTGGTAAGCTCGTGAGATTGTCCAAACAGTAGTTCTAAAATCCTTCGCATTGCAGGTTTCAGTTTTTACCGCAGATACTTTTCCTCAGCTCGCTCTTCGGCTACCTATCCTTTCTAATAATTCTAAAGTGGATCACCGGATCGCAGGCCGACTTATACCATGTCATGATTTATATGTTTCTAGGCCCGACAGACGACCTTGACGGGAATCAGCTGTTTGCTGGCCAGAAGTACTTCCAGGTATTGTCGTCGAGTTTGTTTTTCAGTTCGGTTTTGTTGAGCTTGTCAACTTGCACAGCTGGCGCTGCTGTTTATTGCGCTGATATCAGTTCCTTGGATGCTTCTTCCAAAACCATTGATTCTCCGAAAGCAACACCTCGAGGTGCTTTTGCGCTTGTTGGATGTCTTGTTCCTCATTATTGTCTTTGGCAGAAGACGCAAGGAGAAGGCTACGCCGGCCTTGAAGAGCATCCGGACGAAGAGCATGAAGAGTTTGAGTTCAGCGAGATTTTCGTACATCAGTTGATACACACGATCGAGTTCGTGTTGGGGGCTGTCTCAAACACCGCATCGTATCTTCGTCTGTGGGCATTGAGGTAACAATTCCGACTTCCGGCGACTTTGGGAAGCCTCCTGACACGTTTTTCTCCGTTGCAGTTTGGCCCATGCAGAACTTTCGGCCGTGTTTTACGAGAAAGTGTTGCTGCTCGCCTGGGGGTAAGTATAAGATCGCTGTCATCTTTCGAATCTTAAAATCTCTGTTCATCAGGTATCAAAACATCTTCATCATATTGATTGGCTTCATCGTGTTCGTGTGCGCCACGGTTGGCGTTCTGCTGGTAATGGAAACATTGAGCGCATTCCTCCACGCGCTTCGTCTCCACTGGGTGGAATTTATGAACAAGTTTTACGTTGGCGACGGCTACAAATTCCAACCTCTATCGTTTGTGAATCTGGGCAAGGAGGACGAGTCATGACAGCACTGTATTTTGTCAATAATCACATTGGTTGGACAATAAAGCGTGTATAGTATCATTTGTCATGTAAGGTCCGTTAAATCATAAACTAAAGGATATTTCTTATGCAACATTTTCCAGACATTTTTTATGAAAAAAAAAAAGAGACTCTAGTACACTAAGACATCATCTTTGCGTTTTCCAGGAGGACAAAACGGCGGATTGGTCTATATACAGGACCGTACAATATGACAAGAAAAAAAAGGAGGAGAGGAGGAACCCTCAGATTACAGTTGTAAAGCCAAATCTGGCTGCTGGTGTTGCTGCTGCTGCTGTTGCTGCTGATGTTGATGCTGCTGCTGCTGCTGCTGTAAGTTCAGCAAGAGTTGGGATTGAGCCTGGTGCTGTGGGGACTTCGGAGACTGGAGGCGAACGTTCAAATCCGGAGGAAGCGGTCTCAGCTGCAGTTGATTGTGATGGTGTTGGTGTTGCTGCTGATGATGCTGTTGTTGCTGTTGTTGCTGGTGAAGGTGGTGAAGCTGCTGCTGCTGCTGCGGTTGAAACCTGTGAGACTTCCAAGGCTGCAACAAGGACTGCGAGATCGCGTTGTACACCCCCATCTGCTGCTGCTGCTGCTGCTGCTCCTTGAGGTGGAAGTCATGGCTTTGCTGCCTAAAAAAATCGGCACTGCTCGCGTTCATGTCCGGCCTCAGTTGCTGTTGCTGGTGGTGGTGTTGTTGCGGTTGCGGTTGTTGTGGTGGTGTTGCGGTAGCAGATTGTTTCGCCATCATGCCTTGGCCGCCGAGCCCCGGCATTCCAAACAACGGGCCCCCGGCGCTCGTGGCGTTGCCGCTGCTGTTACCGTACGCCGACAAGCCATGGAACGCCATGGTGGACGGAACGGATGCCGCCGCCGCTGGTTCGGCGTTGGACCGGCCTGGATTCGCATGCTCCTGTCCAAACACTCGCGGCAAACCACCGCCACTGCTGCTGCTCTTGTCTCTTGCGCCTGATTCCTGGACCCCCAAGGCTTTCTGCAGCGACCACGCGCCCCTCGACGCGTCCATGCCTGAAAATCCTACGCTACCGTTTGGACCAAACTTAGGAGGTGCTGGAGCTGGATACCTGCTTGCCTCGGCTTGGTTCTCAGCTGCTGCACTACCGCCTGGATGATCTCTTTGGAGCGGAGGAGGAAACCTCGCGGGCGGCTTCTTTATCTGCTGCTGCTGCTGCTGCTGTGGCTGCTGCTGTTGCTGCTGCTGCTGGGCCACTGCCTCGACGTTCCTGTAGTTTTGAACCCCGTTCCTGTGCTGGTGATGGTGCTGCTGGTGCTGGTGCTGGTGCTGGTGCTGCTGTTGTACGTCGAAAACTTTCGAGACAGTCGGCCTGAATGGAAGCTGTACAGGCGCCGCAGGAGCACCGGCAGAAGTAGTTGCCGTGCTGGATGGTACTTCAATCGCAGGAGGTTGCTGTGATGAGTCCTTGGCCTCGTCCCTTGGAAGAATCTGTTGTGCGGCGGGCTCGGTTCGTATGCAGTCAGGTCGTGAAGACTTCTCATGCTCTCCAACCCAACCGGGACCAAACGGAACATTTGGAGCCAAAACCTTACGAATCTTCCTTGCAACAAAGTCCCAGGCCGGACGCTTGAAGTTTGCACCGAACAAGGCGAGGCTTTGAGCATACGAGCCACCATATTGAACTCCAGACTACAATACAAAATCTATCAGCATCATGAGGCGGGCGGGAATAATGCTTACCGGAACAATTTGTGCGACAACAGCGTCCTCAAAAGGCTCGGGAGGACGGTAAGTGTGACGACGATTCTCATCGACAGTAAGCAGTCGGCGTCCGTCCTTGAGAGAGGCAGCTTTTGATAAAGAACCTGAAAGTAACACGCACAGGGGATCAATACGATTAATGAAGCGCAAACAGCAGCGTTTTCATACCTTCCGGAAATTCGAAATCGTTTGCAGAACTTTGAAATGGAGAATTTGACTTGTGAGATAAATCAGCCACCCGGTCAATGGTCGATGCCTTCTTTCCATCCGCTAAGCCAGCCCCGGGCGTTACATCTGAGCCTTGTTGTTCAGAAAACCTTCTGGTTGTACACCGCTTTAGTTTGGATTGTTTCCCAGGGCCCTTGCGTTGACCGTTGAGCCGACCTTTCAAGACATCAAAAGCTTTTCGGGCGATGTCCTTGATAGCTTTGGCCTGTTTATTATCGGTGCAAACTGTAAGAATCAGTTTGAAAGTTTAACAAGCTCAGACCTGTTTGTAATAAATTGTTCTCGGAGCGTTGTATTTCATAGCGTTGCTGCAAATTAAATTAACATCCCTCTGCGATAGGAGACAATTAGTCAACAGTTCCCGGAAGAAATATGAGCTCTCACCTCAAAAAGCTCAATGGATCCGTATGCTCCCTTGGAGAGTTTCTTTTTTATCGTACTGAAATCCATGGGCTCCTTGATGATGTCCAGGTAATCTGGTATCTGCAACGAAACCAAATAAGCGACCTGCAATGAGGGATATCACACGGCTGAACAGACCTCTTCAGGATCAACTGGCTCAGCAAAAACTCCGTATGTATCTTTCCTACAAACCAGAAACCATAAGCAATGCTCGCTCCGCAAAATTGGAAACAATTACTGAACTCACTTTTGGAATCTCTCCAGAAGCTCTTCAAGGACCCTGTGTGGAGGAGAACCATTCTCAAGCAGTCCTGGAAGACGCAACGCACCCATTAATTCTCGGAACCGTGAAATCCAAGAGTAATACTAACCGGAAGTCGGTGTTGGAACAAATCTCACATCTTTCTCCTGTTGCTAAGATGAGCAAACTCAGTTAAGTGATCAAACACAAACGACTAGCCATACCTTCATTCTCCGCTTGGAACCATCTTCGGCATCGGCTGTGGAGGCTGCGACCTTCTCCTCCTCGCCTGTGCCCTCGGGGGCGTCCCTAAACTTTCGTTTCCTAGAAGAATGCTGTTGCAAGCCCTCGTCTTCCATGGACTCGCTAGCACTGGCACTGGTAGTGGTAGTGGTAGTAGTAACGGCTGCTGGTGTTCTTTGGCGATGCTCCACGGACCCTCCAGCTGCTGTGGCTGCTGCCGCCGTGCCATTCGATCTAGCCTCTGGATGCCTCGACCTCGTAACCCCTGACGGCGAGGAGAGCCCGCTAGATCCAGACCCTAGACCTGTAGACGCGACGCCATTCGAGGCCGGGGCCTTAGATCTCACGCCCTGGGGGGGCGGTGGGAGCTCGGGGCCGTCCTGCTGAGGCTTCCGGAGCTTAAGAATGAGCTTGAGCTGCTTCTTCTTGGGAGAGAGCGCGGATGCCTCATCGTCACGCGAAGATCGGGGCTTGGTGACGGGCTTTGTGCTAGAAACCGGCGCCGGGACCTTCTTAGCCTCGATCGGCTGCTGGATCGACGAGGACGGCTTCTTTGGCAGCTTGCCGTGGTGATTCCCGGCCCCGTGCTTGTGATTCGCAATATTCTGCCCAGCCGCTGGCTGCCTCGCGAGATTGTGCTCGTGCCGCGGGAGATTCTGCCCAGCCGCTGGCTGCTTCGCGAGATTATGCTCGTGCCGCGCGAGAACCTGCCCAGCCGCTGGCTTCTTCGCGAGATTATGCTCGGGCCGCGCAAGATCCTGCCTGTGATTGACAAGAACCTGTTGCGTCTGCCGCAGATTCACCCCGCCGGGCTTGTGATTCGCAACGCCGTGCTTCACACCGGGATTTCGCCGTAGATCCGCGGCGCTGTGCTGCTGCTGCTTGAGATTCGTGCCCTGGAGGAGGCGCTGGTGGCGCTGGGAGGCGGCGGCGGCGGTGGCGGAGGAGGAGCAAGGCGCCGCGCCAGACGATGAGGGCAAAGAATGTGGCGGCGGAGGAGGAGGAGGAGGCGGTGGAGAAGAGGAGGAGGGATAGTGGTGGGGGTGGGTGTCCTTGTCCGCCATTCCATAAGACAATGTGTCACGCCCGCTCCCGCGGCGTTGCAGCACATACATACATGGCACCACAGCACCACATAAAAAGCGCCCAATTTTTAAGGGCCAGCGCCAGGGCCAGTAGTAGTAACTATAGTGGTAGCCTCCCTACAAGAATGGTGAATGGGGGTGCTATGGATGGATGGATGACACATCCATGGTATTCGATCATAGACTCATGGAAATCCCCACACCACACACAAGGGATAAGACCCACACACGCACACCGCGCGGGGAGGGCACACCTCACCCTTCACACGCCACCAGATATGGTGGAACTGCTACCGCGGTGGCCGCCCGCGCGGCCACCGCGCGGGCCCCGCGCCGTCGGGATATCCGGGCGGCCAGCGGATATTCCGTCGGTCTGGCGAAGCTGCGCGGAAGGCAACGGGGGTGTTAGGTGGAGCCCGGTGCGTGACACGTGTACGGCGAGGGGTATATTTCTTCTCTCGGCACGGGATATTCGCGGCTCTGTTTGACTGTTGGAGTGTAGTGTAATGTAGCAGCGCGCACACTCTGTGTGTGTATGTGCGTGACAGCTTTCTGGCTATGGCGTTGGCGAGCCTTTCTCTTTGTTTTTTCACAGAGACTGGATGATGGTCGCGATCAAGGACAATAATCTAAAAGCTCCTCTCTATCACACCAAACACACTTTAGAGTTTATAGGCGGTGGTGGTGGGAAAAAAAGTTTGGCTTGAGCAATGAGAGCGAAAAAAAGAGAGCGATTTTTTGGTACCTGTAAGCATCATCTCCCACTGGAAGAAGAAAAGGTGCGAGCAGGAGGAGGCCAATCAATGTCGTCTTTCTTCTGCTTCATCGTTTGTTCGTCTGTCGCCGCGTCGTGTGTCATAATGCTGCGCTGTGAATCAGCGAAGCCTCGCTGTTTAAGTGGAACACTGTAATTCGTGCCGGATCATAGCAGCAGCACCTGGAACTTAAAACTTCAAACTTGAAGAGCCCTCTTAATCCTGACAAAAGAAACGTACCAGATTTTTGGTTTTCTTTTTGCTTCCTTTTCGAGGATTTCGACATTTGGATCTGCTGTGCAGTGACAAAGTCAGCGAAGGAAAAAACAAGCGAAGGAAAAGAAGAACCTGTGAGGAAGATCGAAGACTGACCACCATTCTGGCCTTTTTCAGGACTTAAGTAGGACCTGTGGATCGAAAGGAGTCCGCCTGTCTTTGCTCATGTACCTGATGGAGCGCTGCAATATCTTCTGCATTGGAGCGTCAGGCTCCAGCCGGGAGTCCTTGAAGTCCCTCTGGATCCGATACACCTTCTTCGCGTCCCTCAATGCGATGCTGTTCTCGAGGAGAAGGCTGTAAGTGGTGTTGTCAGGCTTAAATCCCCGAGCCTTCATGTCGTTGTAGACCGAAAACGCCACTTCGATCACGTCCTCCTTTGTGAGTCCTCGCAGCAGCGCGTTCCAGGTCTTTACGTTAACTTCCACTCCTTTCCTGAGCAAGCCTTGCATGAAGTTGTAAGCCGACTTGGTCCTTCCGGCGTTCCCAAGGCAAAGTATGATCGCTGTGTAGGTGTAGATGTCCGGCTTGAGCCCATCTCTTTTCATCTCCCGGTAAACTTTGCGAAGCCTTTTCCTTCGTCCCCGCCTGGCCAGCCCGTAGAAGAGGAGATTGTAGCTCCATATGTCCGGGACTTGGCCAAAGTACTGCATCTCCCGAAAGATGTTGTAAACCAGCGATGGCTTGTATGACGTCCCGACCGCTCGGAGCAACGAGTTGAAGACGCGGGTGTCGAGACGGACATTTTTCCGCTTCATCTCTTCAAACAGCTGCAGAGCTCTGTTGACTTTGCCGGCTCTTCCGTAGCAGTCGATCATGGTCGAGTAAGTCATGGTGTCCGGTAAGAGCCCGAGCTTCTTCATTCCCTCGAAGTACATGGCCGCCATCTTCGTCTTGTTGGCTTTGCACAGACCAGAGACGATGTAGTGATAAGTTCCCACGTCCGGTGATAGCTGATCGGCTTCGAACATGTGAAAAACCTTGAGAGACTTTGTCAGCTCCGAGTCCTTGACCAAGTTCTTGATCATGATGTTGTAGGAGCTGACGTTGGAGATACGATATCTTCTCATGCGTGACAGTATCCTCGCGGACCACTTGTGTTTTCCGGCCTTCCCAAGGCAGTCCATGAGAAAATTCCCGGTCTCCACTCTAATGTCCGAGCCTGTGATCGGGTACTCTTGGAACAGTGTGTAAGTTTGCTCGGCCATCCCTGCCCTTAGAAGAATGCTGAAAAACTTCTCTGTCGTGTCGGCGTTCACACGAACCATGCTTTGGAGCATTCCGAGGAAGAGTATATGCACGGCCGAGAGATTTCCCACTCTTTCAAACGCATCGATCAGTGTAAAAAAGATCCCTGCTGATGGCTTTGAACCTTCCAAGAGAAACTCTCCCAGCATTTGCTTGGCTCTCTCTTGTTCTCCAGACTTTAGCAGCAGGCAGACGAGTACACTGTGCGTTGTCGTCGACGGCAGAAAGCCAAAGTCCTTCGTTTCCTGGAGAACTTTGATCGAGCCTTCGATGACATCCAGATTACTGAAGCTTCGTATCAAAACTTTGAGAGTTCCACCACTGATGTTCGAGCCATGGATATCGCTAGCCGAGTCCAGAGCTTGCATAGCGGTGAAAACTTCCTGTAAGTTTCAGAGTTATAAGCGCGAATCAAATGCAAAAAAAACAACCAACCTGGTCGATCAGATTGTAACAAGTAGCTTGTGTTCCTCCAGTCCAGACCCTGCGAACATAAAACTTAAGAGAAAACGAGGAGCTTGAGTCCCTACCTTCTTGTCGGACTCTCTACCAAGGATTTTTCCTCAGCCTTGGCATTCGAAGAAACCAAAGACAGCGCCTTCTCTCGTTTGAGCCGCTCCAAGAACTCCGAGATCTTTGAGCGACTTGATTCGATCTTCGTCTCCTCCATCTGGAAGAATTCGTTTCCAAAATTCAAGCTCGGCACCTCGAGATCAATCCGGTTGTTCACAACTGCGGAAGTAGCAGTAGTAGCTTCATGACCCTCCGGAGCTTTCGGAAGGACTTCCACCTCTTGTTCTAGCTCGAGAGGTGGTGGAACCAGATTTTTTTCTTCCACCACCACCACTGGAGGTCTGCGCCGAGCCACCTTCTCTTTCATCTTCTCCCACCTCGCCGATTTCTTCAAGGACGTATCGCCCTGGAGGGGCTTGAGACTTCCCAAAAAAATAGCCAAATCCATTCCTTTCGACTCCTCAGATTTTCCCTTCGGCTGTGTGCCTGGCTCGATCCTGTGCTGCTGCTGCTGCTGGAGCGCTTGATCCTCTCGAAAATCTAGCACAGACTGCAAGGAAACCTTCGTCGCCGGAGATCTCTTGGCGACCAGAGGGGGATTGAAATCCATGGCGCTCTTGCGGAGCAGCGCCTTGCCGTGAACGCGCAAGAGGAGCTGGACATCGCTGTCTGTGATCCCTGCATTCTCCGCGGCTGCCGTGGAGAAGCCATAGCCTCGACGAAGAGCATACCTTAACGCGCGCTTGGAGAGATCGCCATGCCTCATAGAAGAACTATGCGCTTCCTCTTTATTTTAGGGTTCTTGAGGATGGGCGAGGTAGGACACGGCAATGCGGCTCGACGACGCAAGCGCCACCGCGGGATTTTCGCGAATCTCTTCTCCATCTTCGCGTGCTTCAGTCCCGTTGCTGGATTGAGCGACAAGATCGGCGATCGCCGCGAGGAAGGTCGAGACAAGGGTTTGGCATCGTCTTCCGGTAGAAAGTCGCGCGATCTTGATCGCGACGAGCAGCAGCAGCAGATTATCCTTCCATCGATGTCACAGTCGTCGTCCCTGATCTCACAAGAGCTCCAATCCGTGCTACATTCCGCGCTGCCTACGCTAGCTCGGCATCGGCATTGGCTTCTCCTCTACAGGTAATGTGGTCGATCCATCGCTGCTGCTCACGATTTCCATGCCTTGGATCAGCTCAGCACTTGGAGAGATGGAATTTCGTTGCTTACACTGTACCGCAAGAGCTCCACTGTGATTGGCCACTGCTTATTGGTAAGAAGAGAATCATTTAATTTTCATAGCCAAGCCCCTTCTAGTTGTTAGTGATGATCAAGCAACTTTTCTTTGACATCGTTTTCGATTCTTCAGGCTGTGGCAGACACTACAGGGACTGTTTTTGGAGCTCTTTTGTCTGCACCATTGAATCCAAGCACAACGAAAAAGTACCAGGTTTGTCTTTATAGCCGATATGTGTCTCCAACGTGTTTGATCCTGGATGGTTTTCCAGGGGGATGCGAACACGTTCGTTTTCACTACTGTTTCGGGGGCTCCACAAGTGTTCCACTCAACAGGCAAGTGATGTTTCCTTTCTATAAGTTTCATTCTTTTCCAAATCTCAGACGTTAGTGTGATAGGTGCCAATCGATACTATGTTTTGTGTACCAATGAGGCGCTGGCTTTAGGTGGTGGTGGTCACTTTGCACTCTACCTGGACAATGATTTGTAAGCATTCCTTGTGTGGATAAGTGTGCCATGCAATTTTGCTCACTCGGTCGGTGCTGTTTCTATCAGGCAGAATGGCTCCAGTGGCGAATCTCAAACTTTCGGCAATACATGTTTGGCATACGCCGACGAGTTCAAACTGAAAGACGTTGAGGTTTGTGTACTCTGTCGCGTAGCTTCGTTCTCATAATCAGTTCTTGTACTGTGCAGCTTTGGGGTTTCCAACGCAATTGAGTGCTCTAGTTCCTAGAACGGGATATTCCAGATGATATGTACTCAAGAGGAGCACAGGACCATTGACTAGGCAAGCAAGGAAATGAGTTCCTGGCTTTCTTCTGACAATGTCTCTTTCAGAATAATTCTGTACTTGGTCAACTGCGAAATTTATAGCTCCAATTTTTTCAGCTCAAGAAAGGAAATCTTAAGTTGTCTACTTGCACCAGGTAACGTATATAGTCAACACTGCTGAAACTTTCTCACCCGCTGGATGACTTCATATCAACTTCAGGTGGTCACAATGAAGTGAAGGGTGCCATTTTTCTGGATCCACAGGAAATGAGTAGTAGTAGCAGTGGCAAGGGCAATCTTTTGAGTTCCCCGAAACACGACAATTCTCTCCGTCCGAGCCGTCGAGTTGGCTGGACACGCCAATGCCAGAGGCAAGTTCGGTAATGCAGTAGAACTTCGGATGGTGTAATCAGCTTCCAGCAGTGTTCGTGGAGTCTTTCTGGCAGACAGATCTGGATCAAGTGATCGTTCCAAAGGCTTTGCAATGGTCTTGGACTCCATTTTCCTGCGGGAATCAAGACAAGAAGTCGAAGCAACGAAACGAAGTGATTCAAAGAGAAGGAAGAGGGGAAATTTGGTTGATAAAGTTTTTGCCACCAAGATCAAAAGCTTTCTACTTTATTCTGCTTTTCTCTAAAGAAAGCTACTTGCAGAAGGCACTTAATCCTGGTCCTCCATAATACACTCCTCCTTTAGTCAGGAGGGAATTGTAACACTCTGGATGTGTAGCATAAGTGGAAAGCTTAGCAGGCTCCACACTGTGGTTGAATTGAGTTAGAACTTTAAGATCACTGATGAAACTGGCCCAGGAAGCCCCAGACTCTGCAAAGTTTCCACTTCCCATTTGTGTTCTGGTGTGTCTGTTTGAAGGCTTGGTGTTCATCACTTCTCCACCCCACTGGACTACACTTGCAAAGTCTTCCAGCATGTCAGCAGGCCAGTAACCTATCACAAGATCTGCAAATGTGAGCCACCATTTCCCACTTTTTTTTTCCTGAGAAAGAAAATATGTAAGCTAGTTGGTAGCTTTGAAACTGTAAAACAGGTTTTGTTACCTTGGCAATGGACACGTCCATTGTATATTGATCTCCATTTATTGAGGAAAATGGTGGTGGCAAAGAAGCACCCAATGTCACTTGTTTGTTGGTCTTCACAAAACCCTTGCACTCCTGATTGTAGCAGCCAGTTTTGTGGAATCCATCAACCTGTGAAGATTTGAAATTAGCTCTCTTCATGAAGAGTCTCTTGACTGACTCACTGTCCAGTATGTGAAAATTCTAAGGCTTTGATTCACTTCTTTGTAAAGTCCTGGATACACCTGGAACGAAAATCAGATTGTCAAACTAATAACAATAAGTATAAGAAGAAAAGAATGCTTACATGCACTCCAGCTTCAATAACTTTAGTATTGTTGTTTGAGAAGAGAGAGATGAAAGATGCACTGTATTCTTTGGAAACTTCTACCACTGGCAGCCATACATTCAGTGTAGCCTTGGCACCCAAGAATTTTCCCTCAGCTAAAACACCTGCTTGCTGTTTAATATACATTTTAGAGGCGATGTATCTCAAACGTTTATCATTTAAACCTCAAATTTTGTTGAGTTGTTGTGGGTTTTCTGTACAGGTGAATGAAGCTAAAAATTCCAAAGCCATAGACATGTTAAAAGAAAAAAAATCTTGAAACAGAATTTAGAAATACTACCTCAATAATTTGCGCTTTCGCATAAGTAGTAAAAAGCAGTGCTTGGAAAACAAACCAAAGAAGCAACCTTGTAGGCATTCTCACCAAATTTCTTTGCACAATCATTGATCGCTTATTCATATATATAAAGAAAAGAATTAATCATATACAGCAAAAAGCTTTTGACTTCCGCGATTCTGTGTTCTTGGATCATTCTGCAAAGTCATGCTTGCTTTTGTCTTCAGGGAGAATCTATTCTATTAGATTCCCAAGAAGGTGCAATGTGCTTCTCAAATGTCTTCTTCCATAAGTTTGTCTGCGGATCGAGGCAAGAACGGCTCGAACGTAGAGATTACTGTGAGGAACGCGAACACGTTGAGGAAGAAAAACACCAAATGGTCACCTGAAAGCTTCTCGAATCAACAAAACTAGACAAATGCAAGGAAAAGCTTAACGAACCAGGTAGAAACCACGCGTCTTGTCTCGTTTGAGCCCACGCAAAACTGCCACCATTCAGTCACTCGTTAACATTACCACTGGTTTGCCTGAAAAGTTCGAGAAAAACTTACACAATCCCTCCGGCTGCTGGTCCTATTGCTTTAAAAACTGAAACGACGCTCACGGAGAATCCATTAGCAGCGCCCCTTTGGCGTTGCTTCTGTAAAACAACAAGAGCACGTAGAGTTACTAGAGGAAGAAAAACTGGTTCGTGAATAGCGTACCACCGTGTTGTTAATGAGCATGAAAGAACCGGTCATTGCTGCGACCTGTACAGCTCCAAGTCTCTCAACTTCATTCGACAATCAAGATTACAATATCTTACCGTGAGGACGTATTTCAAAATCGAAGCCGAGAAAACTATTAAATGTGTCCAGGTACTGTTGTGAATTTTATTGAAGAAAGGGTACAAAACTAGCAGCGGAATAGTAATAAGCTGGCAAAACACTTGCGTTTAGAAAGAACAAAGAAAGAAATAAGAACAGAAACTTACTGCTGCATAGCGACAAGATCGGATTGTTCCAATCAATCTAGCAACAACAGGAAACAACAAAGACTGCGCCACAAGCATGGCGAATCCTACAAGTTTCAAGTATTTTGTGATTAGTAACACTAGAAATCGTAAGAGACTCACCAGAGACTCCTAGAACTGCACCAACATTAGAGCTTGTGAACCCAAGGCCGCCGTATGCGCGTGGGCTGACAGACCATAGCGAGAAAGTCTGTAAAACACACAGGTTGAGTCACTAGAAAAATAAAACCGGGTTGCATACCTCTGTATAAGCAATATCATGAAGAGACCAGAAGCAGTAGACAGCTGTGGACGCCATCAAAGGCCAGTTTGTCCAAATGGATTGGTCCTCCTCTTGTGACTTATCAACTGAGGATTCCTCGTCCTTCACTGTGTTGTGATGTTTGTGCAACGTTTCCTATGGAATGGTTATTGACAACAATGTTCATCGCAATCGCTAGCTTACCGGAAGCGCAGGGATCACAAAAAGCGCAACTACAGCAATAGCGGAAACGCAAAGTGCCTGTAGAAGATATGGAAATCTGAGAAAAAACATCAAAAAGAATTCTGCGCCAAATGATTAAAAGTTTCATCATTACCTTGCAAAAATGCTGCCCTTTGTGAAGACATTAGGAAATTTCTCAGCTGGCTGAAATGACCAAAAAATATAGTTATAAGCGCAGATCCTTGGTAAGAAATTCCATAAACCTGAGCCAAGAATCCCCCCAACGATGGGCCAATAATCAATCCCAATCCCCAAGCGGTCCCAACCTGAATGAACTCTCGTTTTGGTTGACAGAGTGTAAATGCAAACTTAAAAGCCTCACCGTCGACATACCAACAGCCTGATGCTCCTCGCTGACAATCTCAGAAGCATAAGCTTTCACCACTCCGAGAATCCCATTGAAGCTCCCAAGAATAAAACGGGTTGCCAGAGCCATTGCGAAATTAGTACTCAATCCGAAGAGGGTGTTGAACACCAGTCTACCAGAAAAAACACACAAACACACAATCAGGATTGATCACGAACTCGAGAGGCAATAGATATACATACACTGAAGTGACGCCAAGATACATAGCAGACTTTCGACCATACTTGTCTGCAATCCTCCCCCAGACAAGTCCAGTCACAGCTCTTCCAGCCATAAACGACGAGCCTGGAAACAAAACAAGTGAGCAAACGGAAAAGATCTAGAAAAGCGTCACGCTCACCAAGCCAGCCAGCATAATATCCAATGTCTTCATCCGATTTCGCGACATGAAAGTCTTTCACCTGTCATAAAGAGAATGAAAACCAGCAAAGTAACATCTCGAGACACTACCATGAAATACACAAACGGGTACAAAACCGAGATTGGCAGACCTGCAGAAACAAAATTGAGAGACTTGGAAAAAGAGGGCATCTACCTCAGCCACTTACAGTTGGCGAGGATAACAATTCCCAGAAAGCCCAGCAGCTTGTATGGCACCGGCGCATTTTTCCGTCGGAGATGCGCAGCCTTGCAGCCGGGGCAATCTGGATGGCCTCCTCCATCCTTGGAAACCAGCAGCGGCACCTCCTGCTCTTGCTCTTCGGCTTGACGTGCAGCCGAAGTCATTCTCCCCTTCTGAACGCCTACAAACGAGACAGCAGAGCTGTATTTATAGTCAGCTATAGACAAGCAATGAAATAGCTTGGAAGCTACTTACCGGTTGCGTCACCTATCACAACACTGATTCCAAAACCTCGTTTTCAGTCCGTAGAGATTCGCCAATGCAGCTCTCTTCGAAATGACTCACGTAGAGCCCATCCCGCTTGCTAGCAAAACATGAGGTGGGTTCCAGCAAAGGCGAGCTTGTCCAAAGCATAGCTTGCCTCGCTCAAGTTCCCGTGAATCTTGCAAGCGTTTAGTATAGCACTCCATCTCAAACTCGATGATAATTCTGCAAGCCAGAATTTTTAACTTTAGGGGTTACTTGCTTACAGGTAGGAAAGACAAGATTGACCTCGACAAGAACGTTGTCGCTACAAAAACTCCGCCTTGGCACCTGAAACATTTCACGTTTTTAACAAAGGAAATGTGTTTCCAGCTTAAAAACTCACGGGGGCTGAAGGAAACGGCCAATGGTTGTCGTCAACCTCCTCCATGTCGAAACGTAGCATCGTTCCATAGGCAGTCTCGCGCAAACAATCCACGGACGCCTTTCCCTTCGCTGGCTGTTTGCTCTTCGGAGTCGGGCAAACCTCGACTCCATTTCTCTCCGCAATCAACGCACTTCCCTTGCTTCATATCTTCTTTTCGACCGCTTCTGAGGAGTCATATATCATGACATTGTTTTCTCTACGCGAGTTACCTGCAGAGTCTTGTTTTAAACATGAGAATCGATTATATTGCCAATGAGGATATCAAGTGTCTTCTTCCATAAGTTTATCTGCGGATCGAGGCAAAAACGGCTCGAACGTACAGATAAATGTAAGAAACGCGAACACGATGAGGAAGAAAAACACCAAATGGTCGCCTGAAACAAAGCTAAGCTTCTCGAATCAACAAAACTAGACAAATGCAAGGTAGATTAACGCACCAGGTAGAAACCACGCGTCTTGTCTCGTTTGAGCCCACGCAAAACTGTCATAATTCAATCACTCGAAAACATTACCGCCTAAAACACTTCAAGAAAGACTTACACAATGCCTCCGGCTGCTGGTCCTATTGCTTTAAAAACCGAAACGACGCTCACGGAAAATCCGTTAGCAGCGCCCCTCTGGCGTTGCTTCTGCAAAACAACGTAAAAGAAAGATTCAGAGGAAGAAAAACCGGTTCATGAATTGCGTACCACTGTGTTGTTAGTGAGCATGAAAGAACCGGTGAATGCTGCGACCTGTACAGCTCCAAATCACTTAAATCCATAAGATTACAGGATCTTACCGAGAGGACGAATTTCAAAATGGAAGCCGAGAAAACTACTATATGTGTCCAGGTACTGTTGTGAATTTTATTGAAGAAAGGATACGAAATTAGCAGTGGAACAGTAATAAGCTGGCAAAACACAGATCTGTTGCGTTTAAGAAAGAAAAAAAAAACAGAAGGAAGAGAAACTTACTGCTGCATAGCGATAAGATCTGATTGCACCAATCAATCTAGCAACGACCGGAAACAGCAAAGTCTGTGTCACAAGCATGGCGAATCCTACAAGCATTTAGTATTAGTGATTAGCAACACTAGAAATCCTGTGACTCACCAGATACTCCTAGTACTGCACCAACATCAGAACTTGTGAACCCAAGGCCGCCGTCTGCCCGTGGGCTGACAGACCATAGCGAAAAAATCTGTAAACACAGGATGTTTCACTAGAAAATTAAACAGTGTTGCATACCTCGGTGTAAGCAATGTTATGAAGAGACCACAGGCAGTAGACAACTGTGGACGCCATCAGAGGCCAATTTGTCCAAATGGACTGGTCTTCCTTCTCGCTTCTCTCAACCGATGACTCCTCGTCCTTCACTGTGTTGTGGTGTTTGTGCAACGTTTCCTATGGAATGGTTATTGACAACAACGTTGATCGCAATTGCTAGCTTACCGGAAGCGCAGGGATCACAAAAAGCGCGACTAGAGCAAAAGCGGAAACGCAAAGTGCCTGTAGGAGATATGGAAATCTGAGAAAAAGAATCAACAACAATGTCGTGCCAACTTATTAAATTTCTAATCATTACCTTGCAAAAATGCTTCCCTTTGTGAAAACGTTTGGAAATTTCTCAGCTGGCTGGAAATAAATAAATAAATAAATAAGCCTAGCTTCTTGGTAACAAATTCCACTAACCTGAGCTAAGAATCCCCCCAGCGATGGGCCAACAATCAATCCCAACCCCCAGGTGGTCCCAACCTGAATATCGTTCTAGTTGACAGAGTAGATGCAAACCTTAAAGTCTCACCGTTGACATACTAACTGCCTGATGCTCCTCACTGCAAATCTCAGAAGCATAAGCTTTCACCACTCCGAGAATCCCATTGAAGCTTCCAAGGATAAAACGGGTCACCAGAGCCATTGCGAAATTAGTACTCATTCCGAACAGGGTGTTGAACACCAATCTACAAGAAAAAAAACACACAAGCAATCAGGATTATTCATGAACTCGAGAGGCAATAGATATACATACACTGAAGTAATACCAAGATACATAGCAGACTTTCGACCATACTTGTCTGCAATCCTCCCCCAGAAAAGTCCAGTCACAGCTCTTCCAGCCATAAACGAAGAGCCTGGAAACAAAACTGGTGAGTGATCTAGAGAAGCGTCACGCTCACCAAGCCAGCCAGCATAATATCCAATGTCTTCATCCGATTTCGCGACGTGAAAGTCTTTCACCTGTCATAAAGCGAATGAAAACAAGCAAAGTAACATCTCGAGACAGTACCATGAAATACACAAACGGGTACAAAACCGAGATTGGCAGACCTGCAGAAACAAGATTGAGAGACTAGAAAAAAGAGGGCATCTACCAACGACTTACAGTTGGCGAGGGTAACAACTCCCAGAAAGCCAAGTAGCTTGTATGGCACCGGCGCATTTTTCCTTTGGAGATGCGCAGCCTTGCAGCCGGGGCAACCTGGATACCCTGCTCCTTTCTTGGAACCCAGCAGAGGCACCGCCGCCTGCTCTTGCTCTTCGACTTGACGTGCTGCCGAAAGCATTCTGACCTTCCGAGAGCTCCTTCAAGACTGCGGAGTGTGTTTATAATCAGCTATGGATACTCGCACTGACCGCTTGCGTCACCGATCGCAACTGTGATTTCAAAAACCCCGTTTTCAGTGCTGCTCCCTCACGTAGAGCCCATCACGCTTGCTAGCAGAACATGAGGTGACGAGCATCCCGGTTCCAGCTTGGCGAGCTTGTCCGAAGCATAGCTTGCCTGGCTCAAGTTCCTGTGAATCTTGCAAGCGTTTAGTATAGCACCCCACGCGGAACTCGATTCAAGTTCTGACGACGAGAGGACGAGCTCCTTTGCCTTCTCAATCTGACCACTTCGCGCGAGGAGATCGATCACGCAGCTGAAGTGTTCCAGACGAGTCGGGACTCCATGATCTCCAGTTAGAAGCACAAAGACCAGCAAGCTCTCTTCGACGAGACCACCGTGGTTGCAGCCCGTGAGGATACTGGTGAAAGCTATCTCGTCCGGTTCCATGCCTTCGAGGTTCATTGTCCAGACGAGGCCCATGGCTTCTCCTCCATGCCCGAAGTGAGCATACGTCGCAACCATCAGCGTGAAAGTCACTGCGTCCCACTCCGGCATAGCATCAAACACTCCCTTGGCTTTTGCCGGATGACCACTTGCACACTCGGTTGCCACCATAGAGTTCCATGACACAACACTGCGTTCTGGCATGGCGTTGAAGATCAGCTTCGCCTGCTCGAGATGCCCGTTTTGAGTATAGGCTTGAAACATGGTCGTCCACGACACTACGTTCCTGTCCGGCATGCGATCAAAGAGCCTCTTCGCCTGAAGGAGAAGGCCATTGTCGGCGTAAGCTTGAAGCAGACACGTAAAGCTGACGACGTTTCTCTCGGGCATAAGCTCAAACACCTGTTCCAGTTCCTCGATACACCCGGCTTGGGCATAAGCCTGTAGAATGGAGTTCCACGAGACGATGTTCCTCGACCGCATCCGATCAAACAAAACTTTGGCCTCTTCGAGTTTCCCAGCTTGAGAATAAGCAGCCATCATCGAGTTCCAGGTGACCAAGTTCCTCTCCGGAAGCAAAGTTTCTCTTTGAGGATCATTTTCCACCACCTCGGACATCATCGTATCAAAAACTTTTCTAGCCTCCTCCAGCTTCCCGCTTGAAGTTAGCCCGGCTATAACAGCATTGCAAGAGGCAGCGTTCCACTCGGCCATTCCTTCAAACAACCTCTGCGCATTTGCAAAATCCCCGGCCTCGCCAAATGCATGAAGCATTCCGGTACAAGCCACCACATCCCACTCTGGCATTGAATCGAATAAAAGCCGAGTCGAATCAAGCTTCCTTGCTCTTGAAAAGGCCGTCACCATTGAGTTCCACGAAACCAAGTCATGAACCGGCATCGCTTCAAACATCCCCTTTGCTACTTCCAGACGCCCCTCACGGGCAAATGCTGCGATGATAGAGTTCCATGACACGATGTTCTTCTCGGGCATTGAGTCAAACGCACGCTTGGCCTCCTCGAGCTTTCCATTCTCTGCAAACGCGGTGACCATGATGGTCCAGCTGAAAACGTTGGGGGAGCAAAACGGACTGTCGAAGGCATGGCACGCTTCTGCCAAGCTCCCACACTTGCCGTAAGTTTCAATGACCAGATTGTTGAGGTACCTGTCCTTCCTGTGGTGATTGTTCCGGAGAATGGCCTGGTGAATTTTCTTCGCTCTCGTCAAGTCCTTGACAGAGCTGCACGATCGCAGCTCGGCCGCAAGACTAATCTGTGCCTCCTTCAATGCATCAATATCAATGGCCGGTTTTTTGCTGTCAAGCGTAACGGAAGCCATTAGCAATGCTAACTGACATCTTCTTCAGCTGCAATGGACGGAACGAAGGGTTTGTTCTACAGCGTAAAGCGACCTTACCAAATAACTTTATTGTTTTCGAGCTGTGAGCATAATAAAGTTTCCTTTGATCTTCTTCTGGTAGTCGACTAGTCCACACAGCTTGCACAGTTCTTCGAGTTCTTTTTCGGTCCAGTATCTCAAACTCGATGATCTCCGTTGCTGCGGGCAGTCAAAGTAAGCCAGAATTTCGAACTTTATGCGTTACTTACAGGTAGGAAAGGAAAGATTGAGTTCGACAAGAACGTTGTCGCTACAAAAACTCCGCCCGGTTTCAGAACTCGACATATCTCTGCCACCTGAAATTTTTCACGTCTTTTACAAAGGAAATGTGTTTACCGGTTAAAAACTCACTGCAGATGAAGGAGACGGCCAACAATGCAATGCAGCACCAGCATGAATAGCAGAAACGGTTCCAGACGCAAAAGGAAGACGAATAACATCCGCTCGAACCAAGGCGATATCTCTGCCGACACAGAAAAACGAAGAATCACGAATTATTTTTCCAAAGAGAATGACAGACCACAGGTGGTTCGAATCATACGCTGTTCTCAGAGATTTGTCCTGTTTGACGAACTCAGCGCATTGCCGTAGCATGCTCTCGGAGAAGTCTAATGCGATTACCGCTGCAAACGAGCCACATTTTGCCAATCGTCGAGTGAAAAGACCACTCCCACAGCTCACATCAACTATGACACCTCCAAAGGCTGGTCGAAGATACTCCAAGGCCATTTTAAGCTGAAACACATCACACATTCTTCACTCTCAAGTATAATAATTTCCCAAACCTCTTCATCTGGACCAGGAAACCCACTCCTTTCGAAGTTTTGTCGCCAGCCCCGCTCATAAATCAAAGAAACCAGAGGATTTCTACGCCAAGCTTCACGTTAGCTTTTTTCTCATAATCAAAATTCTACGAACAAACCTGAAAAGCTCAGTGCCAGTCGGAGGAACTTCCACATAGTCCTTGGCACCAGACGTGACAGTTAAATCCAGATACTCATTTCTAGACGAAAACGATCGCTTGCACGTAGAGCATTGAAATCCAGACTTTGCTATCGCGAACCTGGCCACAAAATCTTTAACCACGATATCAAAATCTACCCGGAACTTACTGATTGATTCCTGGCGGACCCTTGCGCAGCAATGCATCGAAACAAATCGGACAAGCTAGCAGCTCCTTCGTCCCCAATCCTCCATCAGGTTTGGCGCTTGAATTCCCACCTTCAAGCTGATCGATCGACGCAGCACCTAGGGCAAGAAATCTGACTTTGCCAACCGCACAGCTCACCCGCGCTCCATTTCTCGATCGAATTCCAAGCGCGCCGCAGTGGGAATCCTCGCAGCGCCGCACGGCGCCAGCGCCGACGGAGCTTAAAGCAATGGCCATCACCGCCACGCGAATATGCGAAATTTTGACCTTGAAAATCAATCCAAAAATCTTTTGATCAAGCGACAAGACATCCTAGGCCGGCTACCGTACAATCACATGAAGGCCGTGAGGGTTAAACTTCGCGCCAAAATTCAAATAGAAAAACACTTTTGAAATTCTGTAAAATCTTTTGCGGGATAAAATCTTTATATATTTGTGGTACTTTTACTTTTCTTTTTCCCCTTAAAGTTTGCTAGCTAGCATGGTCAGGATTCACAATTCCAACATCCAAGTGGGAATGCCAAAGAGATCATTGAAATCCATGGAGCAAACAACGCTTTGGAACGAAGCGACGAATTTAAAGCCACACACCACACACCAAATTGCGCGCCGATGGGCCCACGACCCCGAATGGGCCACTGACCACCGCGCTCCGTACGCTTTCCGGCGCTGCGGGGGTCGACGTCCCATCACCGCCAAACCGACGGCCACGATCCGCCGACCGTCCCCCCTGGCCGTCCGATCGGAATCGGACGGTTTTGAATTCTCCCGCCTCTTTTCACGTGTCAGTGCGCTGAGCCATCGGCAGCCGTCCGTCCTTCCCGCTCCAACCATCGCGATCGTTTGGAGTCTCCGCCGTCCGATCTGTATCGACGGCCCAGATCCGCTCTCAGCGCCGCACGCGAGCGGCTCACTGTCGTTGGATGATACTGCCGACGGCTGGGATAATTCGCGGTCTCTCCTTTATATACATTTGGAGGGGTCCTAGCTGTTGCTTGCATTCTTTGATGCTGTGCTTCCTCTTCTCTGGAGGGGTGTTTAGGTGTTCTTTCCACTAGCGAGATCGATCTTCCGGTTCTAGGGGGGATTTTCCACTGCCAGCATCGCCATGGTTCGTGATCTCCCATCGAATTGCCTGCTCGCGCTGTTCTTGCTGGCAAAGATCGACATTTCTTGGATTCCGGGCGCTGAATTCTCCCAATTTCGTGTGCTTTCTCGTCGCAGGTGGGCTACGCGCTGGAATCGGCGCCTCGGAAGCCCGTCTGGCTCGAGGCATTGCTGAGCGAGAAATTCTTCGGCTGCTGCTCGACGCACGCGACAGTGAAAAAGAACGAGCGGAATATCTTCTGCGTGGATTGCAATGGCAGCATTTGCCAGCACTGCCTGAGCAGTCACAGCGGCCATCGGCTCGTCCAGGTGATTGAAATCCCGCAGTCCTTGCGGGAATTGTGCTCCAATTCTCGCGATTCTCGCCGGAATCGCCCTCTCATCGTGAATTTCGCTTGCGCAGGTCCGGAGATATGTGTATCACGATGTGATCCGGCTCCATGACATGCAAAAACTGGTGGATTGCTCGCAAGTCCAGGTAAGAACCCGATTAGGATTTTAGCCAATCCTTCTAAAACCCCAAATTTAGGCTCTAACGCTGCGATGGGATGGATGTTTTTTTTCTTTCATCAGACATACATTATCAACAGCGCAAGAGTAGTGTTCCTGAATCAAAGGCCTCAGCCAAGGCCCTCCAAAGGACTTTCGAATTCTTGCGACACTTGCGAGAGGAGCTTGCAAGAGTCATACCGATACTGCTCAATTGCCTGCAAGGTGAGTGAGTGAGTGATTGATTGATTGACCACCTTTTGATTTTCATGCATCTTCCATTTAAACTTTTCTTCTGGTTTGACAGGTTGATGCCGTGGGTAACAACCAAGTGGAGTTAGATTCTCTTGTACCTCGTCGGGTGGCCTCCTCTTCATCGACGGATGGCGGATTCAGTTCCTCTCCGGAAGATGAAACACTCAAGGTGGACAAACTGGAACTCGACGACGAATTGTCGCCAAACTCGGACGATTGCCAGTCGCAGGCATCGTCAGGCTGCAGCGGGAACAAGAACGAGGCACAGTGCGACGATCACATCGTTACCTCGGTGATGATGATCCCACCACCGAAGCGGATTCGCAGCAATCGATATCCAGGGCAGTGCTCGCCAAAGTCGGTCATCATCCCGCATTGCTCCAGCAGGAGGAAGAGCACACCGCATCGGTCTCCGATCTTTTAGAGCTCCAGGAGGGAAGAAGAAGAGGAAGAAGAGGAACTTAGCAAGAAGAATTCGAGCAGCAAGACAAGACGAGCGAGGAAGAAGACGACGAAGAAAAGAAGGCGTCAGAGGTCGGGAAAGCTTTTTCTTTTTCTTTCTCCATGCTTTCTTATCAAATCCTTGTTAACTTGTGGCGCAAGCGTTCCTAGATTTGGGAGTTTTGTAAGCGGTCAGAGGCCTCCCTACCTCTCTCGTCGTCTCGTCGCGTCCTCGCCTGCGAGATAACAAAAATTGAAGAAGGCCGCCGCGGACGTTTCACAAAGGTGGCTGGGCTTTGGACTTGGTCGACAAAGTTGGGCCTCGCCTCTCCTTTTCTAGAATGCGGGTAAGGGGCTTTAATTTATTTCTTTTTAACTCGGTGGAGAGCTACGACTGCTAGTGCTGCTGCCAGAGAAGAGATTGAGGCAATCAAAGCAAGCAAGCAAGCGATCAGAAAGAATTAAAGAGGCCCCGCGCCAATCAGGAACTTTGGAAGATTTTGCGCGAGAGCTTCTTTGTCGCCGCTCGTGAGAGATTTCCAGGGAAGAAAATTCAGCTCCAGCAGCGCGGATTTAAGCGCGCAGCGTCGCGGCCATTAAAATCGCCCCGCTATTGGCGATCTTTCCCCGGCTTCCCTGTTTCTATTCCAGATTTTTTTGTTTTTTCTCTCCTGGGCGTTGAAGTTGGAGAGACCTGTAACGCATTTCGCGCACCACAAAACTTTGTATAAAGGGGAAAAGAAAATTGGTTTTTTCTTAAACGGCCAGTCACGTGTTCGAATCCCGCCCGCAAATCCAAAATGCCGCATACGTGGTTTAGTTTCAAGCAAACGTAGGTGTGTATAGTTGAAGTTTAATACACCAAGCACGATGGGGTGATAGATTTCATGGTTGGAAATAACAAAGCTTTTCTCTTTGATACAGAAGGTGTGCTTGACAATCTCGACTATTATCAGCACAAGATCATGATATCCATTCAGATACTATTTGCTGGGAAATAATTGAGGTGCTGTCAGCTCACGTTTTAACCGTTTACAAACACTTTATCTCAAAAGAAATTTAACTTTGTAAGGAGCACAAGTTTGATCTTGCGATCGAACATTACAGACACGAACTATGATAAGAAGAAAATTTTGAAACCAAAAAGTGTCACTGACTCAATGACAGCTGTGATGGTAACTTGGCATGCACTTTGCCGCGTGTCCCGTAAATCTCCTTTTTAAAATTCCACAACACTTAGGTCAAGAAAAATCAAAATTAAAATGGCGCCAATAGCAGGGGTTTGCTTGCAGCACATCGCGAGGGAGGCGGATGATCCACACGCCATGGCGCTCTTCTACCAAGAGGTGGGCGATCGGCCTGGATTATGGGATTTCAGCTCAGATTTGGGGGATTGTCTCGCTCGCAGGTTCTAGGGTTCCATCGGTTGGAGACTCCGAATTTTGGCGCCATGACCGTGATTTGGATGTCGCTGCCACCGTCGCATTCGCTGCATTTGATCGGTCGTGAATCCAAGCGCTCTACAACCTCGAGGTAGAAGAACTTTTTCTTTTTTCCTTTTGCTCCTAGCTTTTCCTACCTCGATTTGCTACACAGGAAAGATCCAAGTGTGCTTCCCAAAAGCGATCACTTAGCATTTCGTGTCGAAAATTACAATACCGCAGTCCAGCTTATAAAGGTTTTCCTTTCTTCTTGGTTTTACGATCCACTAAGATTTTTGTCGTAACAGGACAGGGGTATCGAGATCTTCGAAAAGACGCAACAAGACGGGAAGATCAAACAAGCTTTTTTCTATGATCCGGAGGGTATGTAAGGAAACAATTAAAATTGGTTTGTTCACCTTTCTTGTGCCCAGGAAACGGAATTGAAATAGGAAATTGGCCAGCTTAGCAAATGTGTTTTCCAGAATGATATTCTCTTTTAATTAGTTTGTAATCAGGGTTTATCGTTATAAAAAAATGTGATGTTGGAGTAAGATTTCTGAGATAAGGAGGACCAATTGCCCAACCAGCATTTCAGTAAGTTTTCCTTATGGAGATTGTTGTATAGTTGTATACTCTCAAACACCGATTTGATCGACCTGAAAGAGAGGTGTGCTTGTCATAAAAAACTAGCATCTCATCCAGGCATCATGCTATATGCTTTAGCAATCCATGTTAAAAAAGAAGTGAACATCATGATCTTGTTGTCTTGATTAAGCAAGTCTAGCATTGTGGAAGAGATGGTCTTCTTGCAGATTGTGATCTCAAGCCTAACCAAACATTTTGGAGATGGTGGCATTAAGTTCTAGAATTCCATATCTCTATGCTTTCTATATCATACCAGCAGAATCTGCTTGCCATGGGCTTTCCAGCAGTGCATACCATGTTATATTTCCATGCTATGATCGTGGAACCATTTGGAAACCTGAAGATTTTCTTGAAAATTTCAGCATTTTGATGGAGTGAGAGATTTTACCTGGAGAAGCCAAGAGATCATAGTGGCTGCAAACTACCATGGTAAATGGTCTCATACCTCTAGGTGCATTGCAATACCCTCCAAAAATATGTATTATTTGTAGACAACTGACATAGTAATGCACATATCCTTTATTATATGCATCTATAACACCATTCTACCTCACTATCTTGTTTTCCAAAGCATGCTAAAGGGGTGTTTTATACGACCACATATACCATTTTCAACTTTTCCATAGCCGAAAAAGTATTTGACCTAAGTTTAGACTTATAATTTGGAGCTTATGTAAGCCCTTATGACCTTTATAAATAGTTGAGTCTGGTCTTTACCTTGACTCAAGCTACTTATACATTTTTTTAACCCATCATAAAGGGTGGTGTTGTATCTAAGTATCTAAGTATCTAAACAATATATAAATGAATGAATTTTTCACATGGTGCAAAATTACAAGTGAATAAAGTGCTAGTTGTCCTTCTTTATGGCCACAAGTGCATTCTTTTCTACCCATTAAAATCAAGTGGCACTATTTAGTGGCTTGGTTTCTTAAATAATGAAGAAGAGTATAAATTTTAATCTACCACTACTTGATGCACAGAAAGACATCAATTATACTTATAATGATGTTATTATATACTTTCCCATTGGTTTAGGGGCATAAATTTAGTGACATGTAGCCACTAAGAAAAGCTAGTAAATGGTCTAAGCCTTCAACATGTTTGGCAAAATTGAGTGATTGCAAAAGAAGCATTAAGGACTTAGGATGAAGAGTCTACTTAAAATGTTTAGCAACAACCTGGAATAGGCTAAGAATGAAGGGCCTTACTTCAAACATAAGACAAATAAGTGCTTAATTAATAAATGACAAATGACGGGGAAAAAGGAAATGGCTTGGATGAAGTTGTTTTTCCATGAAAAACCTTAGAAATCCTAAGATTAATTCAAAAACAAAGACAATTCACTTCTTAGAACAAAAATAAATAAATTAGAGTAACCTTTATCTGGCATTGCATTAGTGCTCCACTTTGCACATGGTCTGACCAAATATAATATTGTGTTTATAGTCCACTTGTACATGGAGAAGTATGGGACTTGAATAGTTAATTTCTAATTTTTCTGGAGAAAAATGTAAATTCTAGAGATTGTATGGTTTTATGAACTATATCCATCATCCAGTAGCAAAAGCAAAATAAAAAGTTCACTTATAAAAATTTTTAAGGAAAAAATATACTTTATCCTTATTTTTTTTATTCCAAGCTCACAACAACTATAGTATGGCAACTTAGCTACCGTGGCATACATAGAAGTCAAAGAAAAATAATAAAAGCATAAAAAAGTATACCTTATACTTGAGAGTCTAGTAACTCTATAAAATGCTATGGTTTAACTAACATACCTATACATTGTTAATGTTATATATGCTAGAAGAATTGAATGTCTTATGGGTTTAGCAAGGCTATTGTGGTTTTTCTTAAAACATGTTTTTGTGAGCCATGATTTGAGCTCAATAATTAGTAATTTCTAATATGTTTTTTAGAGTAAAAACATTCATGATGAATTTAAGTTTATGCAAAGCATCAATTTTAAAAATCTTTAAAAAGTGGATTTTTTGTTTGTTTTAGAAAACCTGAAGAGGTGTAAGGAATATGCATAGAGTCAAGCATATTCTACAATATTCTTTAATTTGATGGTAGTGATTTTCTACTTTTAATCTTTTCTATAATTTTTTGGTAATCAAGGTTTAATATTAATATTCATATTTATCACTAATACAAACCATGAAGTGTTAAAAAGTAAATTTCACCAAAATTTCATCCTTGCTACACACTAAGAAACATTTGGAAAGACCACTCACTCATTCAGACAGTTTTGTGCATTATAGTTTTAGACCCTTTTCACCAAGGAGTCTCTAGATAGAATGGATAAATATAATAGGAACAAAACTTATATCTGGACTTTGGCCTTATGACCTTGACAAAGAATTAGGGTGTTCATTGGGAATCTACAATAGTTTTAGCTATGCCTAGTTTAAGAAGAGAATAATTGGCAATGATGCTTCACAATAAGTGTGACAACATTAGGTTATCTTGGATTAACTGATAAAAAATATTCTAAATACCAATCTAAAAAGGAAATTATATTACAGAGAAAAATATTTATGAAAGTACAATATTTAAGTTTTTTACTCTTAGATTAATAATTCTTATTATAATTATAGTAACAAAGTTGCTAAAATATAGAAAACTAGTGTCTGGAATAAATCCAATCTGACAGTTACTAATTCTTCAAAATGAAGTATACATAAGCAAAAAAGAAAGGAAAAAAGTCTAAATACATAGATGCTAATGCCTCTACCATAGTGAATTGGATTTGAACCCAAGCTTTAAAGGATAAAAGCCTTTGCCTCAAAACAGGGTTGGTAGGTAAGAGATCCAAAAAACATGATCATATAAGAATTAGGGTGAAAACAAATGGAGTCACCTACATACCTACTCAATCCCTTGAATTGGCATTGCTATAACTTCCAAGAGTAGTTTCTTCCATTTGCAAGAGATACCTCACAAATTTGGTAATAATGTCAACATTAGAGAGGAGAACTGGAAGATCCTTATCTCACTAGGGAATGGCTGGAAGTTGCTTGCAGAGGTGGTCATATGCCCCACAGTCATATAGGACATAGAAAACATCCTCAACCTGTGCAAACTACAAACTTGACAGAGACAAAGGTGGTAAGGGATGCTAGATCTGACTCATAAGCCTATCTCAATATCGAGATGGTGATTACCACATCTATAAGTGGCAAGCTTGTAATGAGTTCATGGTGGGGCATGAGGTAAACATGTAGATTCATGCCTAGTGGATTGATTGTTGTGTAGTAAATGATATACTTGATTGCCCCAACTATTCCTATCAATAATCAATTCTCCAAAGCCCGTGACATCCACCAGTCAAGCGGATCCTCAAGTACCAACTCAAGGTCAAGGTCAAGCTTGGTCGTCCATCTCTTGAGTTCTACACCAACCTCCATCCTATTCGAACATAAGGTTGATGGAGTCATCAATGGCTCACATCTAGAGCTTTGTTTGCAGAATGCAAAGCAGACACTAGGTTTATATAGTTAATTGTTTGTTTCCTTGTGAGTAGCTCCAAGGGCCATAGACTGGACTCAAGTAGGACAATCAGGTATAACACATCCCTTGTATGGAGCTCCATAGAAATGAAATGGTATTGGAGTTCCTCCACTTGATCCTAAAGATTCCTAGAGCCGTGACCTTTGCAATACACAAAGAAACTATGGATACCTTGTCTATAAAGAATTGCTACTTTGCACTCCAATTTGTGACAAGAGCATTGGTACCATCTGATTGGAGTGCAAAGGCCATCACAATATGATTTATATGAAGAAAATACCCAAATATTTGTAATTGTCTACTATCTGAAGTGCAATGCCACAATGATAGATATCCTATCTTGCACTTGTCCCAACACCAACTGCATCTTGGTGAGATTAACTTCCATACCAATGGCATCACAAAATTCACTTAATGCATCAAGTGTGATCTACATTTGGCAGACCATTACTAGGATGCTGCCCTCCAACATTGCATTGCCAAGTTAGAGAAGAATTGCAATGAGCAATACCATCCATGGAGGAGACAAAAATTAAATGGATATATTGCTTATATTGCAAAGCTACCAATAGAAAGCATAGTGAGAAATTTGATTAATAAGTTAAACAATTAAACAATTGATACACATGGATTAAATTGAATTTGGATGTTTTTAGTTTGTGCTCTTGGGCAAAGCCATACAACAAACCTTATCTAGCAAGCGATAGATAGATAGGAAACTTTTGAGGGGCAAGATTGGCAAAGTATCTCTTCCATCCTCTAAAGGTCTTGAGGTAATAAGTCTTATGATTTTTCTCACACAATATTCTTTATTTACATTTAAGGGGGAAACTTCTCTAGATATCTAAGCATGCAACAATATTTAGCACATGCCTTATATTGGATTCTTTACAAAACCCTTCAGGACACCTAAATTGGGATGGAGAGGATGATTTACAATCTTAATATTTTATTTTTGTTGGGTTCCATACCTTTATAAGTAAAAATATTGTTAAATTTTTATTGAGAGTTTCTAGAGCTATGGAGAAACATTTTTTACAAACATACCTATTTTTTATTAAAGAAAGAACTTGTAAGAACTTTCAAAACTAAATTATATAGCATTTTTAGATAATCATTTTAGTGCAGAGATGGATCATTCAGTTTGCTTCAACATACATGTTTTATAGGTAGATAGGACATGATCAGTTGGCCTTTGAGTGCATCAAAAGAGATCAAAACAATGATGATTAATTTTAGCATCTGTAAAAAACAACAAGCATGAGTAATGTGCCACTATACTGCTAAACTTATGCACTTTACTCAAAAGCTAGTGACATCCACTTGGTGCATAAAGAAGCTAATACCACTTTAGACTTTAGAAATTAATAAAACCTATACCAATATATTCCATTTGTTTGTTACAACATGTACTTTAAAAGTACTTTGTCTATCTATAACATTAATCCATGGAGCTCAAACATTATGGAGTAAGTAGTATACATTCTCCTTCAAGAAATGTCAAATACATCACCCCTTGACCACCTTCATTTTTGTCCAATTCACCTTCACCACTTCTTATATCCACTTCATACTCAAAATCTCTAGAAACTTTGTAGAAGATGAGCTTGCCCTTGAGCTAAATACAATTGTTTTGTCCAGTTTGAGCAAATTTATCAAAATTCTATTGGCTATATATGTCGTAAATGTGATTGTAAGTTTTGAAAGTTACTTGCTAATAAATCCTTTTAGATATTCTTTTATTATTGCCATAACAACAAGAGATTGGTATTACTAAACCCTTTATCAATTTCTATTGTGCTAATGGAGTTAACTATTAGATAAATAGAAGGATAGAATTTCTAAGTGTTATTAGTTAAACATACTTAGCTTAGTTAGGAGTTCCTATCTTATTTTGTCTTGCATTATTTAATGACAAAAACCCTTATGTATTGAGATTAGTCTCTCAATATTGCTATATGATAACTTACCATTTCCATCTTGCTATCATGCTCTATATGTTAGTTTTATTTGGTCTTATTGGTTATTTATGAAAAGTGTCTAAATTTGTTAGTAAGACATATCTATATAGTGTAGAGATTGTCTACATTTATATATGCTCCCACGTTTAGATTTAAAATCTAACATCATTCCATATTTAATAAACTTTCATGATTGTCGTAAAGACTAATTCCTAGGACTAAGATGAAAGCCCAAAGCATGTGTTTATATGAGTAAGTGGGTTTTAAATGTATAATAGGGATAGTGGGTAGGTTTAGTATGGCCAACCAATCTAAAACATTGTCTACCTCTTTGTTAAGTGTATTTATTTTTGTTTTATATTTAACTTGGGTTTAAGTTCACAATCCATACCATGCTAGCTAATGGAGTATTCATATCCTCACATTAAGCCACCAATATGCTAAATAACATTAAACTTTATTTACCTCCATTTTATATGTTAATTTTAACATTAGGATGTTAGATATTCTAAAACTATTCTAATATCAATTTATGCCTTTGTTCCTTAATTGTATACTCAAAAGTTGCTCCGCACTCTAGTTTTTTTACTCCTTAGGTATATACTTGAGAGCTTGGCTGTATCCCTTCATTTAGTGGCCCAAGACACTAAAGCTCAAGTCTTGCTCAATTGCCCTTGGCACATGTGCTCAAGGGTTAGGTTCCACTTTGTGGTTATTTTATTGAAAACCACATATACTACATTATGCTTTTATGAACCATGTTATCTTATATAGCCTTCTATCCAAAAAAAAGAAAAGGTGAAAAAAATGCTAGCTTCTTTCATTCTCCACTACCATTTACTATAATGAACTTTGTTTCATTTATAATAGAGCAAGGGTCAAATACACAATTCAACACCCCCTTTTATTTATGGTGGCCCCTTTACTTATTTGGACTTGCATTCCTTGTAAATCAACTTAATGACTTAGGATATATTTTAGTATATTACTTTCAATTATTTAGTATCTAAAAGTATAAAATATATACTTTTTATTCTCCTTGTATAGCTTAATATGACTAAGGTAATACTAAAGAGAATGAATAAAAGAAAAAATATAAAACACAATAAATAAAAACCTTAGATTATATATTTATAAATTACAACTATGCATCCTTGTTGCAAATATGATTGTAGGTATCTAAAGTTACTTGCTAACAAGTCCTTTCAAATATTTTTTCTTTACTGTTATGATGGTAAAAAGTTAGTATTACTAGACCCTTTTTCAATCTTTACCCAAGTTAATTGAGAAATTGGTCTTTGTGTGTGCACTTAGTTAGATAAGAATAGAGAAGGAATTCTTAAATGTTATTAATCAAACAAACTTGACATGGTTAGAGAAATTCATTTGTTAATTTGTACTTGCTAGTGTTGGGAACCCCTGCAATATTAAATTTAATCCCTCAATACTTACTAGGTGATAATTTACCATGTTTACCAAAACACTTTCATTATCATGCTTCATATGAGTTAATTCCATTTAGTCCCATTAGCTATTTATAAAAAGTGTTTAGATTTGTTAATTTGGTATATTTACAAAATGTAGGGATTGTTCTGAACACAATGGTACTATTTTCATGTCCAAATTCGCAATCTAACATCATTCTATATTTAATAGCTCTTGTCATTTTGCTCCTTGGGTTATATGCTCAAGAATCATCTTATGTTTTGCTCCTTTCACTTCTATACTTTATGATTAAGAATTTAACTTTATCCCTTCGTTTAGTGGCTCAAAGTCTTGAAACTTAGGTTTTGCTTCATTGTCCTTAGACACATGGCATGTGGCACATGGCACATGAAGGGTTAAAATTCCACTTTATAATTATAACATCATAAGGTAAAAAATGAAAACCACATATGCTACAATCCTAAAGTTAGTTGTTAAGCATTTCACTTAGCAATGCTAGGTATGATTGAGCATGATGCAAAGCGCTAAGCCATGGAAGGAGCAAGGAGTGGCAAGGGGATAACCACTTAAGAGAGACAAGTGTTGGATTGTGCATTTGTTCCCTTAGCTACACTTGGACCATAAACTATTATCTATAGCACATGTGAAACGGTCAGATCCATGCAAACTAAAATCAAACACAGAATGTTGATTGAAACTCAATTCAGAGCTCAGGTTTCTTCAAAAATAATCACTTTATGTCCAAAAGCTGGCTACCTCCTTTGTCCACCATAGTTAAGGACTTCAGAACTTTCAACTTGCACATTGACAAGGAGCTGGGCACAACTCATGGACTATGGATTCACATAGAGTTCATGAATCCAAAATTCATATTAGCAATTAATATTGTATTTGTATTTTATGAATTGTGTTATAACAGAATATTCATTCCACATGTTTTCTTACTCATCCCCACAGACAATTGTATCAATTTTGCAGAGAGGGATGGCTTCCAGCTTCTTTGCTAAGGTCACAGTGAGTCCATACTTCTCGTTGCTTGTGTCAACATGCACCACTTCAGCAGGCAGTGTCCAGTGAAAAGCATGTACCAAGTTGGCCAGCGCCAAGTGAAGTATGGAGAACGCTATAGATATTCCAGGACAGGCTCTGCTTCCTGCTCCAAATGGAATAACGTCCAAATTGTTGCCACCAACATCAAAGCAGCTGTAATCCAAGAACCTCTCAGGTTTGAACTTAAGGGGCTCCTTCCAAACTTTCGGGTCTCTTCCAATTGCGTATGCATTCACCATTAACGTAGTAGCTTCCGGGATTTTGTATCCCATCACTTCGCAAGTTTTGGAGCATTCTCGAGGTAAGAGCAAAGGTCCTGGTGGATGGAGTCTGAGTGATTCTTTAACAATCGCTTGCAGATAGGGAAGCTTGCTAATGTCCCTCTCTTCCACCATTCTGTTGGAGCCAACGACACTAGCAATCTCATCCTGGACCATGGACATGCAGGCTGGATGATTTATAAGCTCGGCCAAAGTCCATTCCAGCGACACGGATGAGGTATCAGTTGCAGCTTGAAGCAAGTTCTGTTAAACACTGACCAAGTTTAAAACCAGATGAATAACAGCTATATACGACTTACGATCATCAAGCCCCTGATAGTGTTCCGTTGAAGAACATCCTCGGTGCTCCTGAGCTTCAGCAGCAACCCAAGAAAGTCATCCGAACATGTTGGCGATCTGAGCTCGTGTTCCGTGATAATCTTGTCCACAAATTGACGGCTTCTAACAGACAGAGTCTTGATCCGGTCATCTTGATTCATATTCAACCACTTGACGAAGCTGTATGGTAAATAGTCACTGACGGGAAATGCACCGGCCAAGCTGAACGACTCCTCCATAAGGTATATAAACTCTTCTGCTTCTTTAGAATCAGCAGTATCACCTTCAAAATAGCGCTTGCTCATAAGCATTCTTGTGATGATATTGAAGGTCAGATGCTTGAACTTGGTGCGAAGATCCAATGCCGAGTTTGGAGACGCTTCACCAAACGCCTGAATTGCTCTCACCAGGCTCCTCACCTCACTCATCCTCACATCTGCGAAGTTCCTGGCTGTGAAAAGCTTGGTAGTGCAAAGTCTACGGAGCTGCTTCCAGCGCATACCATATGGAGCAAACACCATATCTTCCCCGTCGAAACCAAGCAGCAACCGACCAGCTGATAAGAACCTTGGCCTCGACGTGAAAACTTTATCTTGCACCTTGAGGAACTCCACTGCCGACTGGCTACTCGAGACCACCACAATCGGAACCACACCAAATCGCAGAAACATAACTGGACCATACTTCTCCGCAAGAGCTTTCAGCACGACATGAGGGTGGCCTTTTAACAGCAAGTGCAGATGCCCGACAAATGGTATAGCCAGCGGGCCTGGAGGCAGAATGTTATTCCTGTTCCTCGTCCGCAGGAAGAAGCCGAAAGTGATCACAACCAGCAGCAGTAGAAACACTTCCATGATACAGGCATAGAAAGATCAGGTGGGTGAAGAAGAACCGATTATATAAAAGCCTGATCCGTGATGACTACGGCATTGGAAATTTGGTAGCTGTCGCTGTCATCTCGACCTGACTTACCAAGGTAGTCAAAGTCTTTCTCGTCGCTTCGTCTACAGGCTCTCGAGCCGGTTCTTCACATTCTGAAAGTAATTCGAAACATTGACTAACTGGCGACGATGCCAAGGCTTGGCCGATGTTGGACGCGCATTGTTGAACGGTAGTGATTTTTATTTGAAGTCATTTCACTCTGAAGGGGGCCCAGAAACTTTGAAACGGCGTGTTAGTGGAAGCTGCTGAAAGATGGTTCCGAGTCGACTGTTCACCATGTTGGTTCAACTCAGCAGTTGTAGCACTTTGCAAATAAGCGCAAGTCGTCTTTAAGGCTGAGAAGGCTAACCATATCACCCCATAGTGCCAGCCCGCATTCCACAATAACAACCCACAGTATGACCCCAAGATTCAAACTGAAATCTGTCACCCAGCCAAAAGTTGAGAGTGACTTCGACTGTTGCTGCACAGTACGTGACCAGAACACCAGGTTGTAAGCTGCGCAAGGAATCACGTAGAAGTTCCATATAATGAAAGTGGCGTCCAAAATTTTGCTGATGATCCCAAAGAACGGAAATGCCAAAGCGGTCAGCCAGAAGGCCAGGAATACTGGGACTCGGGATAATATCTTCTTGCCATAGCTCGGTGAGTCGTGCACACGCAGTAGCTTCTCCCACATTGCATACACGGCAAGGGAGTACATTCCAAAGTTGATAAACTGCAGATTCTGTGGTAAATTGCAAGAACATATATGGACATACTGAACGGTCGTACCAGGTGCACCAGCAAGAGAATTATGGCAGTATCACGGAACTTGGAACTCGGAAGCAAAGACAGGGCATTGGGGTGCTTGAGGAGGATGTCCCCAAATCTGCGGTTCATACTGATGGTTGGAATCATGGTGACCAAGAGAATGTAGATCACCGAATAGGCATTGGCCATCGAAAACTCTTGAGGCTTCCACATTGCATCCATAATTTCTCTGCCATTCCCCCGAAATTAATTAAGAAAATCTAGCGAGTAGATCAAGAAAAATCTCTTACACAGGGACAACAACATGTCCAAGGATTGTCAAGCCGGAGAGACCAGTGAAATACTCCTCGTAGCTGTGAGGCGTTGTGTATTTTACACCTGCAACCTACAATTCCACTGATTATATTGTTGAAATCAATGTATTTCTTGCCTTTTCATGAGCTAGAGTCGCTACTACCAAATATCCAGCAACGTAAGTGGTTGTAATGACGCCAAGGAAAGACCAGATCCTATAGTTGTGAGCATTTGGAATAAAGATTGTCAGAGAGAAAACCGCAGTAAACACAGACGTCCAAGTCCTTTTGTCCAATGTTCTGTTGAGGTTGTAGACAATACTGCACAAGAACAAACTTCCTAATCAGTGTTTCAGAATGATAATAGATCTTACTTGCTGCAAGCAACAAGCTGGAGAGAGCATACATAGAAGACACAGACAATGTTTAAGACAAAGGAGACTGCTCTCCATCGAGGGCCGAGGTGCCCACCAATGACTTCATGAAGCTGGAAAACAAATAAGAGAATAAGTAGAACAATATCAGCGACCACTGATTCTACCTGTGTCGTTGTTGTAAACCTGGTCCTGTCTGAAGCACCTGACTGATGGTGCAATCTGTATTTCAAAAACAGAATGCCGATTACATGTTGAACCCACGCTCCCATTCCTCCCTGAAACAGTTGATAAACGATGGCAGAGGGTAGCCCCATTTGTGTAGTTGATTGCGGCATCGTGAGTAGCCGTGAAGCCATCTACGAATCATGAAATTATACAATGGGAAAGAACGGAGATTGCGAACCTTGGCCGATGAAATGTTTAACCAGGCATCGAATGTGGAGCCTCCATGCCATAAGACTCGAAGCAGGAAATCATGCCAAGGATGTCTGCTGCCCATTGGAAATTCTTATTTTGCATATCCCCTCCAAGAACAATCGCTCAATTGCTCTAGGCGCTCAACTCAACGCTGAAGGGAAACCAATTTCCTGCTCATCGAAGTTACAGACGCTGCCAAATACTCAGTCATAAGAGCATTGTCGTCTACAGCTCTAGAGCATCATCGAAGTGAGAACGTACTTCTTCTTTTCTTATTTTTTTGCAGTTTTCTTCTTGTTTCCTGACATTTTTTTTGCAGGAGACGTCGTTGAATCTTCTTGAGGAACTTCCAAGAACCCCCATTCTCTTCCTGTTCCTGTTCTGCCACCAAACTCCTCTCCAGCAAGTCTACATCTCTCAAATTTCTAGAAGCTTTTTTTTTTTTTTTTTTCTTCATACAAAACTTCAGATATCCGCGTGCTATTTGAGGGAATGGAATTATTCTGTTTTCTTTTAATTTTTTTTTCTCGCTTTTGTTTTGGTTTTTTCTTCTTAGTTTATCGCTCTTTGATCCTGTTTAATCTTTAATGCGCAGTAGGATGAAAGACTAGAACAAATCACCGTAACTTACAGTGTCCCTTCCTTCGGGAGCTGGAAAACTGGGAAGTTGTTCCCCATCGTCGTCTTTCACAGCGTCAAGATCAAATACTTCACCGCTTTCGCCGCCGTCGTTTTCGTCCAGTTCACCTTCCTCTTTCTCACCACTTCCCATGTCCCCTTCGCACACTTTGCTGCGCTTCCGCCGCCCTTCGCTAGGATCGTTCTTGTCCATTTCCCTCCTGCGTTTTGCAAATTCCACTGCTTTCTTCTGCAATCGGAACTTACTCGGAAACTCTAGAAACGTTTCTAGGAGATGAGCTTACTCTTGAGCTGGAGACGATCGTCTTGTATAGCTCCGGCTCTAGCCGCAGCTTGAGCAGATTTAGCAGCACACCACCGGGTGTACGCCTTCGTGAGCCATCCTGAGTCATTTGGCCACCATTTTTCTCAATCTCATCTACCTGAAGAGAAGAAAGAAAGCCCAGTTAGTCGCTCGAGCCACAAACTCTGTCCAGAAAAGAGAAGAAGTAAAGGAAAAAGCTTGCCTCTTTCACAAGATCGTTCACCATCTTCATCCCCAGCATTTCCACTGCCATTCCGACCACGAAGAACTTCGTCTCGTTTAGATGCTTACACACTGCGTCGACATAACTGCGTGAAGAAGAAGATGAGAAACCAAAGTAGAAATCCAGGAAAGAAAGAAAAAGAACCACTTACGTTTGGAGATCGCCTTGGAAGCTCTCAGGGTCGCCGCAAGAATTTCTCCCATCGGAAGAAGAATCTCTCTGCGCCTTTCGCCGTGACTGTGCCAATCTCTTCCTCTTGCGATGCTTAGCTGCACCTGATAAACAGGGAGCATACGTGAGCTTACCATTGAAGAGCAAGAGAGAGAAGAAGAAGAGCAAAGACGATTATCCTATGGCGCACGCGAAACGGTCAGATGATCCACACAAATCAAAATCAAACGCGTACCAGCTTCGCCATCAGCTGATGTTGATCGAAGCTCCATTCCAGGCCTTGGATCGACCTCCATAGACGCACTGTCCTCCATTTCTTTTCCCCTAGCAAATTAGGGTTCATGCAAAACAAAGTTCTATCAATCAAATTTGTGGAGCTGGAGCTCCATTTGGATTGCTCATTTTTTCTAGTTTTGCTTGTAGCTTGGCAGCGAGTTGAGCAGCCTTGGCATTCTTCTTCTGCAGCTCCTTCCCTGGAAAGAAAGAAAAAACGATCTTAGATCTTCGCTTTTGCTAGAACAAACTTACTTTCTTTCCGTCTCGCTTCAGATCGAGCAAAAAACTCCGCCCACTCGTCCGAGAGCACAAACTGAGGTTCTTCCTCCTCCACATCTTCTTCTAGTTCTTCAGCGTGATTCCAGTCCTCCACCCTTCAAACCAAGCAAAAACTCGAGAACTTAAACCAATCTAGACGCAGGAAAAGAAGTAAGATACCCTTCGTGATGCTCCTGAGCAGCGGAGTGATCTTGAAAATTTGGAAGAAACGCTGGACAAGCAAGAGAATGCTGGGTGTGTGTAGAGATTCCTTGAGCAGGCTGATTGGAATTGGATGGATAGTAGTAAGGTGGAAGATAGCAAGGATAGAAGGCAAAATTCTGGGGAGCGGCAAATCCCGAATGAGAGTGAGCTGGATTGGCTCGCGCCGCAAGCGCAGCTGATGATGCTATCCCTGCCGCTGCCTCCACCGCTGCCGCGATCGTCGAGGGGATCGCGCTGTCCATCGAAGAACATAAACCCTAGAACGCTTATTTGGTTGGATTGCATTCCATCGCGGTCAGAGAACCCTAAAAGTTGACTGGCTCATTCCCGCCCAGAATGTTCCAGGGGCCCGCTGGAATGTCCAGCCTTTTCAATTACGCGCCCCATGCGATGGCATCGCTTGAGGGCGATGAGTAGAATGGAGGTTTAGGGATATGAAGCGCAGGCTATGGATTTTGCTCAGCTTGGAATCGGCATTGCGACGAGGATCAGTGCCACGAGCTTCGCGTTGCCAGCGATCGCCAAGCCCCTGCCATTGCCGCTGTCGCTGCCGCCGCCGCCGCAATTCGGGAGATTTTCGGAAGTCTGCCAAGATCGTGGGGAGCGCTTAGGGTCAATGTGGCGCTTCCAGGATCCAGATCGGGTAAGCAAGCGAAATTTCTCTGGTCTCGCGGATTATCCCTCTCTTTCGTCATGGATGGATGAATGGGTCTTTATTTCCTTCGCTGTGTAGGTCTTTGAAGGTGGGCACGCTTGAGCATGCCTCCGAAAAAGAAAGGCAAAAGAAAGAAGAAGAAAGCACCCGCGTTTTACACTGACATTGATGATCTTCTACCTTTTGGCGTTGTCCGGGTATGTATCAAATGTCTTCCTTTCCTCCTTTTTTCTCTCCGTTTTTTCTTCGATTCCCGTCGTGAGTTGAGTCACATACATTTGATTCATTCGTCCATGCAGGCTAATGAACTTATCACTACTGCTCTTGGAATCCAAGCAACAGTTCTTGGTGTCAAGTAAAAAATCCACCTCGCTAGTTTCGTCCATGCAAAAAGAGGTCCTAGACATTTTTTTTGCTTGCTTGCACCATCAGGTACAAAGTTAAAGGGGACAAAGACAGTGGTCGCCTGTGGGTCCGATACAAGTGTGGATATCAGTGTCCTCTGGAAACGCAGCTTGAGCAGTAAGCTCGTTGTTTTTGTTTGTTTCTTTTCTGCTTGTTTTTCTCTTCTTGCTTTTCGTTTTACTGCTTCTTAAGCTTTTGCTTTCTAGGCACAAGAGGTGTTCCGAAGGAGCTAATGTCTGGAAACCTGTGGCTGAGCTACAAGAGGTAATTGGCTTTGTTCTCGTAAAGAAGTTTCTCCAAGCGGTTTTGTTCCAATTCCAGAAGCAACGAAAGGAAGACGAAGTACGTGCCAAAGTCGACGATCTGAACCGGAAGTACCGCGCAGAGCAAGAGGCCAAGAACAAGAAGAAAAAAACCAAGCCAAAGAAACCAAAGCCGCCAGCTGATGCGACGGTGCCATCTCCGGCAGCTCCCGCTGCTACCCGGGCGTCAATCTCCAAAACTCCCACTGCTACCAGGGCGTCCATCTCCAAAACTCCCGCTGCTCCAGCGAGGCCATCGATTTTCAAGCCGCCCCCAGCGAAATCAGCAGCCGCAGCAGCGCCTTCTCGTTCCAGAAAGTGACGAGGTGCGTGAAAGTTTCGGTGGAATTTGTTTCTTTTTCAAGCAGATAGCAGAATCGAAAGAACCAACGAGCGAACGGCCTGGATCGATTGACAGATTGATCGAGAGGTGGTGGCCTACCAGCCATGCCGTGAAGCTTTCTAAGCAGTCCGGCTTTCTAGTGCGTTGACAGGACACTCGCCACTGATCGAGACTGTGATCTTCAAATGTTTCATAAAGAGAAACAAACTTGCTGTTCTATGAAGAAAAGAAAAACTCGTGCCATTGACAAGGAAAAAGGAAAAAGCTAAGGAAAAAAGAGCTTTCGAGCAACCGCTTCCTTGATCATAGAGAGGGTCCCTCTTTCCACTCGAACGAACCAGAAATCTGAAAATATCCGCGGGATCCTCCCTTCCGTACACGCTATAGTCAAATTTGGCAAGGGGATCGTGTGTCCGTACAGGGGATGTAAAGGGGAAAAATATCCGTCCACGTCACTCATGTCATAGCCCACCAAACCGGTGTAGTGGAAGTGTCCACGTGGTGCGATGTCGCGGTCCCCTCCCTCGTGATTATCACGTGGGCCTGTCCCACCCGGCCCAGGCAGCACCAACGTGGCAAGCTGCCATTGGCCCACACTTGCGATTGGTGCGCGCCCACGTGAAGCCCGGCAGGGATGGCCGACGCGTGGCAAAGCTGATGGCTGAGATCCGGCTATTGGATTCCAAACTCCAGTAGCTTCCATTGTTCTTCCAGTGAAGAAGAAGTCCCTGTGATCTATCAAGACGTGATCTATGAAGAGGAAGATTTTCCTGGCGAGAAGATATTTTGCTAGATTCATTAGATCTTATCTAACCTCTAAAATGCCTGCGCATAGAGCAAACAAGAATGCTACTGAGAATTCTCACTGCGTAAGTGATTGTGAGAGGCTCTAGAACGATCCATGATAGCTGGTGAGTGATCTAGAAGTCAAAATCCTAAAACGCTCTGATCGATTGAAAACTCTCTTGTTTTGCAGATGGAAGCACAGATTGCAAACTCAGATGGAAGCACAGATTGAAAACTCTTCAAAGATTGAAAAATCTTTTCTTTTGCAGATGGAAGCATAACGCTCACCTTCTCTCGCGCCGAAGCTAGCCACGTAGAGCTTGAGTGATTCGATGATACGGTAAGTCTCTAAACCGAGAGCTCAATCCAGTGATCAATCAATCGGAAAAAAAAACTATTTTTTGGTTTTTATCGCTAGATCGAGAAGCAAATGGAAGAAGAGCGAACGCCATCCCCGCCACCAGTGGTGATCTTCACGAGCAGCAGCAGTAGCCACAGTCGCCAAGATCACCGGGCGAGCAGCCAAGATCACTGGGCGAGCAGCGCTCCAACTCACGAGCTACTCGAAGGCGTGGAGCTGGTGTGGCAAATCCCGAGCTCTCCACCGCGCGCAATCCTCTTCATCGCGCACCCGGGCTGTGGATCTCCCGGCGACTTCTTCCCGCCCCACCGCGATTGCGCGCGCTGCAAGGGCCTCCCGGAGCACAGCGCGATCACCCAGCGCGCGATCGGCGCGCGCTACGCCGTGGTGGCCATCAAGAGCGCCAAGGACTACTGGCAAACCTGGCCGCTCGAGGCCTCCCAGGACGCTTTCAACGTGGAGAGGATCCTGGATTCTTGGAAGAACAGGCACGGGATGGCGAATCTGCCGCTGGTAGCTCTCGGCTGCGCGTCCGGCGGGAGCTTCGTCTCGGCGCTGGCGCTCCGGATCGAATTCGCGGCGCTGGTGATCATGATCTCGCACGGCGTGACGCGAGCTTTCCAGCGAGCTACGAACAGATACCCGCCGACGCTCTTCGTTCATATGCCCAAGGACTCGCTCACCGCCGCCAAGATCGAGCGAGAGATCCGAGCCTTGCAGAGCAAAGGGATCCCCACGGAAGAGATTGCCTGCCTCGACTTTCCCGTAACTTCGGAGATCTTCCGCAGCCTCTTGAGCTCCCACGGTGCCTCCAAGCTCTTCGCGGCGCTCGTGATCCACGGCGTGATCAACGGCGAGGGGTTTGTAACTTCGGCCATGCAGACGTCGGAGATCCGGGAGCTGTTGCAGCGCGCGGATATTTTCGGCGAGGCGGACGAGGACGAGAGAGAAATGGTGGTGGAGAGTGTCAACTGTTTGATCCGGGTGGCCGAGGCGCGGCACGCCGTCACTGCTCGAAAGTGTAGCGAGATTTTCGATTGGTTAGAACAATATATCATCAGAAGGCACCTCTAGATCGCAGGGAGTTTGATTTCATCAGTGCCTGATTTGATCGTTGTCGCTCGCAAGCACGAAACTTTCTTTTTTTATTTTCCCGTTCGTTGAGCGCATTTGGAAGAACAAAACTGGTTTTTTTGTTTCTATCTCTTACCTCGCATTTGTGTGAGTTTTAGCTGGACCTTTTTCGTGCCAAGTATGCCCGATGTTTCAGCTCGGCTCTCTTCCACTTGACAAGAAGCTTGACGAGCGTTCGCAATGTGTTTACCTGCGCGAGCGTTGAGTCAAAAAATTGAGAGAGATCTTCTAAACTTTTCTTTTTCTTACCAGGATGACTGTCCCAATCAGTAACAGAGGGCCCGACCATACTGTTGATACGAACACTCCCTCCCGGTCAAAGTATGGCTTGCGTGAGAACCTTTCCCAATTCCTGGCGAGCAGGGTATTGATTTTTTCCGCAGAATAGACGCTCAACACTGTCAATCATAATGTCGGTAGCGAGTTAGTGAAAGCAAACAATAATCACGACATATTCATGAGAAACCAATCTCGAAACATTCGATCAAAAACTGTCAAACAAAGTTTCGGTCGGGACAAAAACAAAGAGAAAGCAGAAAAGAAACAAGAAACCGCATGGCAAATCAAACCAAGCGACGCGAAAAGAAGAAACAAAAGACGATGAACTTACGTCCAAATGTGAATAGCAACATTTGCATGTTGTTGTTTTCTCGTGTCCGAATCGCCACTGTGAGCAAACCAGCGTGGAAAATTATGAGCAGCAGCAGCCATGGTTCCTGCAATTCACAGCAAAAAGAGAGAGAAAGAGAGATCTTTTAGATCACAAAAAATTATTTTGCAAGATCGATGCCGATCCAATTCTTGAAGTAAAAGCAAAGAAACGGCGAGTATAGCGAAGCGTACCATCCAATCCACGGCACGAAGAAACGAGAAGACGGGCCCCAAAAGCGCTCCATCCGGGGCGCTCGCGACGTAATCCCACTGCCGCCGCATTTCAATGCTGAGATCTTCCACCATCCCGGCCATACCATCGATCGACGCCATAGCCGCCGCAGCTGCCTCCGCCACTGCGCCTCCCCTTTCCTCTTCCATCTGATCTGATTGTGCCCTAGCCGCTCCACCCCGGAATCGAGCTCTCGATCGTTTTCAAATTCAAATTCTAGGGCAACGGTGAAAAATAACTACCTTGGATTCTATAGTTGCTGAAAAGTAGGTACGAACATATGGTTTGGCATTTCCCAAACCGCGAATCAAGCCATGGGCCAGCCGTACACAAAAAATTTTAAGACATGGAAGAATCTAACAAGGATTTGGTGCACGTGTAGCCAAAACATTATCATATTTCGCGAAATAATTTCCTTGCCACGTGTCAGACAACGAACTCTTGTCAGCTGAAGACGAACCGGCAGTTGCGACGAATATCCTGTCCTGATTCTCCAACGGCTAGGGCTGGTTCGAACCGCCGACCGATGCGCGCGCGCGCGCATGCCAACCATGGAAAAGGACGCCATGACCTTCCCCGTGAGCCTACGGCCGCCTCCATGTCTTCCGTACCAACACGCGCGGTCCCAAAATTTAGCATTTTTTTCAGCGGCCCATTTCACACACCAGCGCACTATGGTAGCGGTCACAAATTTACACGAGAGACTGCACGGCAGCGGTACCACAGCGCGCGTGCTAGGCTCGGGAGCAATGGCGTGCCGCCACGTTGACAGCGACGTGTATTTCGGGCGGCTTTAAGGCGGCATATACTAAGGGGGGAAAGCGGGGAGCCCTAAATATTTCATTTTCCGCCACCCCATGCGAAGGAGCAGCTCCCGACATCAATCTTTGCATGCCGACCGAGATGCGATTAGAATATTTATATTCCTCGAGAGCCCACATGCAGACGAATGCAAATGGCCACCCAAAAAGGATTTCTGCCCGCGTTTGAAAGGAATAAATAAATGTGTTGTTTGGTTGTGGCTTGTTTGGGTTTGTTAACTCGACAGCATTATTCGATTCCAGGACACTTTAGGTTATGATACAACTCAAAAGTGGACTCGTTTGCTTTACTTTACATCTCTTTCGATGGATAGGGTTCCAAGGAAGTAACAACAAGCAACAGCAACATCGCCCAACAGCAACCTTAAGCGACTATTAAAGAAAACTCGCATGTGCGGTTTGTCAAAGCTATGCGTAGAAATATACTGCTTTTCCAAAAGGTGGCGGGGTTCTATTGTTGTCAGTTCTTGACTTTTAGGCTTAGTGATTGAAAGAAAACACATACATTAGCTTATCAAAGGATTTGTGATGTTGCTGCTATCGCTTACACGTTCGGACCGCAAAACCCATCCCGGCATTATCTAAAATAATCCATATAAAACTAATGTCTAGTTTTAATCAGAGGAGAATCTAGAATGTCGATTTGTAGGCTTGCCGCTCAAGCATTGCACTCTCGCATGGGACCACTTTGTGCAATTCACCAAGTTAGTGCAAAGGAGGCATCCAGCTTTTCCCTAAACAATGGCTGTCGACTGTGACTTTGGAGGGGCTGATTGAGGCTGACCAAAAGCGCTATACGTTTTTAGGGCACGACACAAAGTTAACACATGAATCTAGGAGAGACCCACAACAACAACAGGCAGAAACATTCCAGCAAGGGGCGCACAAAAACAAAACAAGAACCAAAACCATATAAAAATAAAAAAATCATAAAAAAATGTGCAAATAGCGTACGTTCGCAAAATACTAAAATTGAAAAATGGAAAATATTTACAAAAACTATCCAATGCGACAACGATGTCCGCCCAGAAAACAACCCTCCTTTAAACTTGCGCCCAAACAAGGGAATATCTCGCGCCGCATTGAATGCCAGCCGTACGATGCAAATCGTGTCGCCGTTCGATCCGCGTCACCCTCACCAGTCAATTTTGTTTTTACCCAGAGGTAATTAAAAAAGGGTTTTGCCCCGTTTTACCGCAACCTATGAGCCGCAATGCCGTACCGGTGGTTTCCCAACCTCAAACGGCGGCGCGACGGGGAGAGGCCGTACGCTTGTCTGCATGGTGGTTGCGCAGGGACCACGTGGAGTGGTCACAATTTTCGTACGAGAAGTGGCCAGGCCCAAGTATTTAACGTGCGTACCCACCATTTGCTAGGGTCTCTCCCTCTATTCTCATTTAGAGTGTGGTGCTAGATATGGCCAAACGGGGCGGCGCTCGACCGCTGATCTGGACGGATCGACGGCCCTGCTTCGCCCTCTCCGCTCGCTTCATCGGCATAGGAATCGTCGGGCCGGCGCCTGGCGCTCCGTGAGAGGGGAGGTGAGAATCTTTGCCTTGCTTCGGTGAATCGCCCCTCCTGGATCGCGATCCTGCATTTCTTGCCGAGAAATCGAGATACTTCGAGCTGGAATCGCGATATTTCGAGCGGAAGCATCGATTTCCCGAGCGCTGGATCGCGATCCTACATTTCTTGCCAAGAATCGCGATGTTTTTGAGCTGGACGCTGAGAAGTGCTGTTTTCCTTCCAGACGCCGGGGATGGTATGGAATCGGCAATCTGGAATCGTGCCGCCGCTTGATAGATGCCCTCTTTTCTCCCTCGATCTGATGCCGAGCAAGCAGAGAAAGGGGCCGAGATTGAAGAGTCGGCTGGAATAATCCTCTCTGCTGCGGCTGCTGTTCTTCCATGGTCGTGCATTATCGATTTGCGCAGAGGTATGGCATCTCTTCCTCGGTCGTCCTTTCATCCCCTTTTTTCGCTTCGAATTTATAGGGGGATAGGTAGCGTCACCGCAAAAGTAAAATTTTCATTTGTTTGCTTTCTTTCTTTCCAGATTGCTCGATCGATCGATCCCGGGCGGACGATTCTAGATTCATTCTTCGTTGATCTCGAGAACGCAAACAAAGGTACCTCCAGAAGGGAGAGGTAAAAAAAAAAAAGGAGATCAGGCAGGATAAAATGGATGGGCAGTGGGGATGGATAGGTGGAAGTGTATTCGCCACTGCCACTGGATGGTTTGGAAAGGAGCACTATGGTGGCAGCGATCAAGGCTACTGGTGCCACCACGATGTTGGTGTGCCGCAAATCGGTGCCTATGGTCTGGTCGAGCACGGGGGGATTGGATGGGGCAGCCCAGTACACATCGAAGAACAGGAGCAATGCTTTTGGGACAAGGACGGTAGCAACTGGGCTGTGATGCTGGCTCACGGCAGCGGCAAATGTGGGTGGAGCGAAGCCGCTGCTCCAGACAGAGTACCGGTGATGACCATGACTCACGCTTTTCCGAGCCTTCAGCTGGCCCCGGAATCGCGTAGTTTTGGCGGCAGCGGCTGGAAGAGCGATGGGATGACTGCTACTGCTGCTGCTTCGTCCGCGACTGCGACTTCGGCTACCGCTTCGCCGTCCTCGGACGACGAGTTTAGCTCCCTCCCGGACGATCTGCTCGAGAAGATCTTCGCGGCATTGCCTCTGCTGAGCCTGTTCCGAGCCCGGGCTGTTTGCAAGCGGTGGCATGGCATCACCACCTCCAAGTCCTTCATGGCGCTGTGCGCGCAAGTCACGACTCACAAGCCGTGGTATCTCATGTACAAGGACTCGGAGAAGATGGTCGGGGTGGCATTCGACCCGACGTCCCGGAAGTGGCACAACTTCGTCCTCCCGCCGCTCGACGACCCCTCGGCAAGCTTCGTGGCCTCGGCCGGCGGCCTGGCGTGCTTTCTCGACAAGACCAACTCGGAGGTGGCCTACGTTTGCAACCCGATGACCAAGGCCTGGCGGCAGCTCCCGCGGCCGCCGGAGAGGCTGAGCTCCGACTACTGCGCGGTGGCGATGTGCGTGCAAGGCGAGGACTACAAGATCGTGGTGGCCAGGTCCACGCCAGTGACGAACGACTACGCACAGTGGAGCTTGTCTATCGAGGTGTATGATTCCGGCCTAGCGGCGTGGAGGAGCCCGAGGTTCAAGCTCTTGCAAGGCTGGAGGCCTGGGGAGGAGAGCAACATATGCAACGGGGTTTTCTACTGCGTCACGCACTCGACTGTTGGTGCCGGGCATGATTACTCGCGGCATGGACTGATTGCCTACGACATCAGTCACGGGGCGTTCCAGGACTTGATACTCCCGATGCCGTGCTCGCTTTCGTGCGTCCGGTTGGTGAACTGCTGGGAGAGGCTGGTGATGGTTGGCGGCATTGGGACGTATGACTTCATCAAGGGGGTCGGGGTGTGGGAGCTCCAGGGGGAGTGGAAGCAGATTAGCAGGATGCCGACCAAGCAGTTCCATGGATTTGCGGGTGGCCTGGACGACGTTTTCTCGTGTAGCGGCCACGGTGACTTGATCTACATTCACAGCTACGGCAGCCCCCAGCTCATGGTTTTCGATATCCCGCAAGGATCGTGGACGTGGGCGAGAGCCTGTCCGGTGCTCAAGCGCGACCCGTTGCATCTCTTCACGGGATTCTGCTTCCAACCCCGGCTGGACGTCTCGGTTTGAGAGGTGAGAGACGAGAAAGTACTGCTGCTTTGGTTTGATAGTTTTGCGAATTTTCAGGTGGTGGCGGCTGGGAAAGCACGAGATTTTTACTACGAAGTACGTACCTTTATAGGAGAATTGGAGATTTATTATATGGAGTGGTGGTTGTGGGGGATCGGGATCGAAAGGACTGGTCTCTCTTCCGCTCGCATCGCTCGTATGCTTAGAAGAACCCGAGAAGGAAGAACGGACGAGAGGATTAGAGCAACCAACGCACGGATCTCTCCCTCTAATGTTGACGGGTATGTTTTTTCTTACTTTTTTTTTTTTTAGCTCGGATCCTCTTGTCCTGCGGCTCTTGTTGTTAAGATTGATTGGTTTTTTCTTGTTGTTCGTCCGTAAGTTATCGCTTAAGTTTAAAGTCCTTGCTCTTGCCTCGATTCGATTTCTCTCCGCCTCGTCCGTCGCATTGTCCTCGTTGGTTTCTGGTTGTTTGTTTGCTGTGCATGCATTTCGCAACAGTCGGACAGGACAGGCTACGTTTTGATTGCAGCAACGAAACTGAAAGTCTAGATAGATATTATAGATCGAGTGAGTCGATAGTCGAGTGACGAGTCGAGAGAGAAAAAGCAGAGAGAGAGAGAGATTGATTGATAGATTGGAAGGAGATGGATAGAATAATTACTCATGGCCGTTTCTCTCTGTGTGGAGTGGAGGCTCTCATATGTATTTTTTTTTTCTTGTTCTTCCTCTTTGTCGCTAGTTATGAGTGTTGGTTTGTTCGTCATTAGCTTTCTCGTAGTCGCGACACACACATACAGTGTGTCTGTCTGAGAGGCCAAATTGATGGCGCCAATGAATGATGGATGGATGGAAGGATTTCTTTTTTTTTTTTTCCTCTGCAACTTTGCTGGAAAAGTTTGTTTGTTTTTTTTTTTTTTTCCTCAGCCTGGAGCTTTTGATTTCCTGTTTTGATCTCGCTCGCTGGCTGGCTTTGCTCACCTTTCGTGCGTGGCTCCAGATTATGATGTCTCGAAGAAGCGAAAGTTTCTCCTCTTTTTTCTCTCCTCCCGTTTCTCTCTCTCCCTCCTCTCGTCTCGTCGTGCCAGGCTCTCGGACAAAGGTGGTGTTGATTCCTATGTCACGCAGCCAGCCAGCGAGCCAGGAGCAAACATCCATCCTCCCATCTCTATACAACTTTCGCCCCATCTCGAGAAAAAAGGCGGGGCGAGCGAGCGAGCGTGGAACTTTGTCTAGATTATCTTAAAAAAGTAGATCGCAAAAAGAAATCGCCTATTCATCAACCAAACTTTAGACATGAACTTACACAATGATTCTGCATTATTGAGTGTGTTCGAATTATTGTAGCCATCCGAGACAAGGAAATAAAAACAACGGCAACCAAGCAACGGACTCCAATCCAAGCGGAAGGAAACAACAACACATCCAGATGCAGCAGCAGCAGCAGCAGCAGCGGCAGCAGCGGCAGCAGCAACAAAACAGAGCAAACAACCAAAAAGAATGAAAAAGGAAAACGATGAAAAGATACAAACTATAATCCTGTGATCCATATGAAGGAAAGCTGAAGTTGGCAGACAGTTTTGTACATGCATACGTAATCGATCACTAGGATACGTACGTTTGGACCGAACTTAAGTAGAAAAGATGAGGGTCCAGCAAAACGTCTACAAGAGATTACGAAACCATGAAACGTGAAGCTCCTGTTTTTTTGTTTTTTCTTCCCGGATGAAATCTCCAACAGACAAAGCCAATAACAATCCATCATGAAACATGATATCTCAACACAATAATTCCGACCACAAGCATTACTGCCCCTGCGATGCGCGAATTATTGAAACTAAACAACAAGAGCGCATTGGACTCAAGCCAGAAAGAGCCAAGCCAAAAGGAAAGAACACAAATTCTGGCCAGATGCAACAGCAGACAAAGGAATGAAAAAAAAGAAAAACAGATGAAAAGAAAAGAATGGGACTTAATACTTATCTGGAGCATGCTACGGCCGCGAAGATTATAGCACTCAGCATTTTTAATCGCGCTACGCGTCCTTCCTTGCATTGCTGCTGCCTGTCCACGAGAAAAGGAGCTGAGAAGGAAAGGCCACAGAGTAACTAGAGAACCATACCTTGCTTTTTATATTACTGCCTCGCCCGGCATGCAAGCTCGTGGCAGTACCACGCCGACTGGAGAGTAAAAGACTGCCGTGTGCGAAAAAAGAAAACGTATCTCCGTTGCTACAGTGAATATTTCCCTTACAGAGGAGTTAAGAGAACTGGACAGTGAAGAAATACAGCTTCATCAGAAGTCCCAAGCCAAGCTGCAAAACGAAGCAACCGCAAACGATCAGAAACCATCTCTCGCTTGCCGTTTTTATGTGCGTGCGGAGGTTCAAGGCCAAAAAGGTCGCCGAGAGTCCAGCCGCGGCTGCTACCACGGCCCACTTGAATTTCTCCACGGGAACGACCGACAAGAACTGGAGAAGTTTGAGCACTGATTAGCAAAAGCAAGGAATGAACTATGTACGTTACCGAGGTAGGAATGAAAATGAAAAGCGAGTAGCCGTATAGACACCACAGCTGGACGAGCCCCGTCGCAACTCCCAGGTACTTGAGCACGAAGTACAAGCCGAGCGGGAGAAGTCCAACGTAGCCATAGAAGAGTCCCGCGGACCAGCTGACTTTGTTTATGTCGTAGTGCCAGTTCGTGTCACCAGCCGAGCTTGTCTTGTGAGCCAGGTAGGCTGCAAAGTTCCCCAGAGCTGCCGTGACAAAGATCAAAGTCGTGCAGATCCAAAACGGCCCGTACCTGCAATACAAAGCTAGAATCCAAAACCGGAAGAAACCAAAAAACTCTCACTCACATATCAGGATTTGTGGCCGTCTTCTCGACGAAATCTCCCTTGAAAGGAACCAAGCTGTCCCCGACCCTTTGGACGACGTCCGAGGTGTCCACGTTGAAGTATGGTCTGTAAGAGAGGAGATTGAAGTAGCCATGCCAGCCGAATTGCTCTGGCTCTGCTGGACGCGAGAAGGTGTCTGGAAAAAAACAAGAGAAAAAAAGAACAAGCTCAGACCACGCAAGGACGAAGCAAAGAAAGAAAGAAAAAAGTCTGAGCTTCTAAAAATTCTTTAGTTTATACCATCGGCGTCACGAGGCGGTTTGGACGAACCTGTCAGCTTCCCTCGCGCATCTGTAGGTGGAAAAGTCTGTAAATTCGAGTCTGCAAGCCAAGTGTGAGCTCGAAATCGAGAAATCTCACGCGCGGCGAAGCGGACCGACCTTGGAATTGCAGAGCTACGTGATCTGCTCCAGCGGCTGCCTGGGACATCGAAATGCGGAAATGCGCATCAAATTCTGGATCACAAAACCCTACCAAAGAACCAGATCTAGAGCGACTGCTGGATCGGAATCTTACCGGCACGGAGCCCGAGACATCGCCTCCAATGGTGCTGTATCCCGACATCGCGTCGTCGATCCGGCGCCTCGCCTTCTCTCTCGTGCGCGCTAACCTAAATGTGGGTACCCTAAAACCGGAGCCCTATAAGTATTTTAGGGTTCTTTAGCGCTATAAGTTTATATTATAGGGTTCCTGAGAGCTCGCGAAATGGGCTTTCTGGCTGTGGCGCCAGAGCTCACCCTCTCCAACAGGAATGGCGAGGTTTCTATGCAGACACTGGTCGGGGCTATCAAGCTGAGCGCGGAGCGGCACTATGTGATGAAGACTCTGGTGCTCACGCTTTCGCACAAGGTTTGAGCTTTGTGGATTGCTGATAAGAGCTAGAGAGTGCTTCTTGTTGTCTCACAGGTTCCGTCGCTTCTCAAAGACTTGCGTGCATGCATCCAGTATGACAAGATCGCGGGGAGCTTGCCCGAGCACGAGTGGATGGATCCGTGTCTCGACTTCGTGGTCGCCACCCCGGACGAGGCTTGGGCCTTCTGGCCATCCAGCGGCACGTTTATTATTCTCATCGATGCCGTAGCTTACCAGGACGATCCTGGTTTCCAAAGCGGCGCGCTGCAGCTGGTTCACACTCGCTTCGAGACCGCGAGCCTTCCAACACCGGAGTTCAACTTCCGCCAGGACGAATGGTTCGCTCCCGCTCCACGGGCTCGTGCCAGCGACACTTTCCAGCGTCTCGTGGCTTCTGCTTTGCCTGGTGAGCGCTCCTTCCAATGCTTTCTCTCGCTCGTCTGATCTTGCTGGTTCCAGAGGCCTGGTCTTGCCCCGGACGGCTGGATGGGGTCGCCACCCAGGTCATGCGCATGTTTGCTGATCACGACAACGTTGTGTGCCAGGGCTGGTCAGGCGTGCTCGCCTTGCTGCCCTGCTTTGTTCGGGATGCCGTGAAGCACGCAAGCAACGAGGCAGCGCCACTGCTGCTGGCTCCTGACCATCACAGGCTGCTCGCGCTTACTCAGCTTCTTGGGTGTTGTGCGCAGGAGATGGGCGTCTCTGTGAAGGTACCCACTCTCCTTTCTTTCTCACGTTGCTGTTACTACGATGATCTCTTGTATGAATTACAGATCGGGCCAGGAGCGGATTCCACTCTTCGCGTGGAGAAAGTGGGAGACGTGGAGCCTCCAGTCTCGGCTTCTCGAATAGTGGTTGTTGAAGCCGACAGCATCCTTGAGGCACACCCCGAATGGGCCGAGGTATTCTTCCAAGAACTTGTTGCATGGTGAAATAAACTTGTGCTGTGCAGTTCATTGCCTCATTTGGCGGCTGTGTTGGACTTCACGTCACACACATGACTGGCGCTGTCGAGGAGGTGCACAGGCGCTTTGCACGCAAGACCGATGTGCCGAGTCCCCCAGGAGTGACGCTGGACGTTTGCCATTTCTACGCTCTGGCGGAAGGCAAGAAGAAGCTCGACTTGGTGTGCGACCTGTGGGAGCAGCTGCGGAGGGGTAAACCAGACAAGTTCTCTGTCTTCTGCAACACGGCCGAGACGGTGGCCGAGGTTGCCAAGGCGATGGTGGAGCGCGGGCACCACGCTTATGCGATATACACAGCCGGGGATCCCATCCTCCAGGTAAAGTCATGAGTCGATCACAAACTTTGACGTCATTTGTGACTTGGTTCCAGGAGGTTTACAAGCGCTCGCTGTCAATCGTAGTGACCAACGTGTACGTTCGGGGCAGGCAGGACGTGATCAACTACGATCTTCCGGCCTCGGACGAGGACTACTTGGAGCGGGTCGGGATTGATCGGAACCACGGCAGGCGATTCAGGCTGGTGATCAATGTCGCCACCCGTGAGGAGCTCCAGCAAGCATTGCCTACTTCGTTCCAGAGCATGGAGCCACTGCCTCCCATTCAACGTGATCTCTGCAAGAATATCGTCATCCAGTGTGTGAGGATGCAGCAGCAAGCCGGGTGTTAATCGCAACAACGAGCTTCTCCTTTTTTCGCTTAAGCTTGT